CTGCACGTGTATAGACATTACATACCCCCGTCCACTATGTAACCAGGAGAGTGAATCAATACCTACTGCACGTGTATAGACATTACCTATCCCCGTCCACTTTGTGCCCAGGAGAGTGAATCAATACCTACTGCACGTGTATAGACATTACATACCCCCGTCCACTATGTAACCAGGAGAGTGAATCAATACCTACTGCAAGTGTATAGACATTACATATCCCCGTCCACTATGTGCCCAGGAGAGTGAATCAATACCTACTGCACGTGTATAGACATTACATATCCCCGTCCACTATGTGCCCAGGAGAGTGAATCAATACCTACTGCACGTGTATAGACATTACATACCCCCGTCCACTATGTAACCAAGAGAGTTAATCAATACCTACTGCACGTGTATAGACATTACCTATCCCACACCAGTCATGTAAACAGCAGTGTGAATCAATACCTACTGCACGTGTATAGACAATACATATCCCCGCCAACTATGTAACCAAGAGAGTTAATCAATACATACTGCACGTGTATAGACAATACATATCCCATGCCAGTCATGTAACCAGGAGAGTGAATCAATACCAACTGCACGTGTATAGACATTACATATCCACGTCCACTATGTAACCAGGAGAGTGAATCAATACCTACTGCACGTGTATAGACAATACATATCCCCGTCCACTATGTAACCAGGAGAGTGAATCAATACCTACTGCACGTGTATAGACAATACATATCCCCGCCTACTATGTAACCAAGAGAGTTAATCAATACCTACTGCACGTGTATAGACATTACATATCCCCGTCCACTATGTAACCAGGAGAGTGAATCAATACCTACTGCACGTGTATAGACATTACATATCCCCGCCCACTATGTGCCCAGGAGAGTGAATCAATAGCTACTGCACGTGTATAGACATTACATATCTCCGTCCACTATGTAACCAGGAGAGTGAATCAATACCTACTGCACGTGTATAGACATTACATATCCCCGTCCACTAAGTGCCCTGGAGAGTGAATCAATACCTACTGCACATGTATAGACATTACATATCCCCGTCCACTATGTAACCAAGAGAGTTAATCAATACCTACTGCACGTGTATAGACAATACATATCCCCACCCATTATGTGCCCAGGAGAGTTAATCAATACCTACTGCACGTGTATAGACATTACATATCCCCGTCCACTATGTAACCAGGAGAGTGAATCAATACCTACTGCACGTGTATAGACATTACATATCCCCGTCCACTAAGTGCCCTGGAGAGTGAATCAATACCTACTGCACATGTATAGACATTACATATCCCCGTCCACTATGTAACCAAGAGAGTGAATCAATACCTACTGCACGTGTATAGACATTACATATCCCTGCCCACTATGTGCCCAGGAGAGTGAATCAATATCTACTGCACGTGTATAGACATTACATATCCCCGTCCACTATGTAACCAGGAGAGTGAATCAATACCTGATGCAAGTGTATAGACATTACATATCCCCCGTCCACTATGTAACCAGGAGAGTGAATCAATACCTACTGCACGTGTATAGATAGTACACATCCCCGCCCACTATGTGCCCAGGAGAGTGAATCAATATCTACTGCACGTATATAGACATTACATATCCCCGCCAACTATGTAACCAGGAGAGTTAATCAATACCTACTGCACGTGTATAGACATTACATATCCCGGTCCACTATGTAACCAGGAGAGTGAATCAATACCTACTGCACGTGTATAGATATTACACATCCCCGCCCACTATGTGCCCAAGAGAGTGAATCAATACCTACTGCACGTGTATAGACATTACATATCCCACGCCAGTCATGTAACCGGGAGAGTGGATCAATACCTACTGCACATGTGTACACATTACATATCCCCCGTCCACTATGTAACCAGGAGAGTGAATCAATACCTACTGCACGTGTATATACATTACATAACCAACGCCAATCATGTAACCAGGAGAGTGAATCAATACCTACTGCACGTGTATAGACGTTACATATCCCATGCCAATCATTTAACCAGGAGAGTGAATCAATACCTACTGCACGTGTATAGACATTACCTATCCCACACCAGTCATGTAAGCGGGAGAGTGAACCAATACCTACTGCACGTGTATACACATTACATATCCCCCGTCCACTATGTAACCAGGAGAGTGAATCAATACCTACTGCACGTGTATATACATTACATATCCCACGCCAATCATGTAACCAGGAGAGTGAATCAATACCTACTGCACGTGTTTAGACATTACATATCCCATGCCAATCATTTAACCAGGAGAGTGAATCAATACCTACTGCACGTGTATAGACATTACCTATCCCACACCAGTCATGTAAACAGCAGTGTGAATCAATACCCACTGCACGTGTATAGCCAATACATATCCCCGCAAACTATGTAACCAAGAGAGTGAATCAATACATACTGCACGTGTATAGACAATAGATATCCCATGCCAGTCATGTAACCAGGAGAGTTAATCAATACCTACTGCACGTGTATAGACATTACATATCCCATGCCAGTCATGTAACCGGGAGAGTGAATCAATACCTACTGCACGTGTATAGACATTACATATTCTCGTCCACTATGTAACCAGGAGAGTGAATCAATACCTACTGCACGTGTATATACATTACATAACCAACGCCAATCATGTAACCAGGAGAGTGAATCAATACCTACTGCACGTGTATAGACGTTACATATCCCATGCCAATCATTTAACCAGGAGAGTGAATCAATACCTACTGCACGTGTATAGACATTACCTATCCCACACCAGTCATGTAACCGGGAGAGTGAACCAATACCTACTGCACGTGTATACACATTACATATCCCCCGTCCACTATGTAACCAGGAGAGTGAATCAATACCTACTGCACGTGTATATACATTACATATCCCACGCCAATCATGTAACCAGGAGAGTGAATCAATACCTACTGCACGTGTTTAGACATTACATATCCCATGCCAATCATTTAACCAGGAGAGTTAATCAATACCTACTGCACGTGTATAGACATTACCTATCCCACACCAGTCATGTAAACAGCAGTGTGAATCAATACCCACTGCACGTGTATAGCCAATACATATCCCCGCCAACTATGTAACCAAGAGAGTGAATCAATACATACTGCACGTGTATAGACAATAGATATCCCATGCCAGTCATGTAACCAGGAGAGTTAATCAATACCTACTGCACGTGTATAGACATTACATATCCCATGCCAGTCATGTAACCAGGAGAGTGAATCAATACCTACTGCACGTGTATAGACATTACATATTCCCGTCCACTATGTAACCAGGAGAGTGAATCAATACCTACTGCACGTGTAAAGACATGACATATTCCATTCCAATCATTTAACCAGGAGAGTGAATTAATACCTACTGCACGTGTATAGACATTACATATCCCCGCCCACTGTGTGCCCAGGAGAGTGAATCAATACCTACTGCACGTGTATAGACATTACATATCCCCGTCCACTATGTGCCCAGGAGAGTGAATCAATACCTACTGCACGTGTATAGATATTACACATCCCCGCCCACTATGTGCCCAGGAGAGTGAATCAATACCTACTGCACGTGTATAGACATTACATATCCCATGCCAGTCATGTAACCAGGAGAGTGAATCAATACCTACTGCACGTGTATAGACATTACATATGCCCCGTCCACTATGTAACCAAGAGAGTTAATCAATACCTACTGCACGTGTGTATACATTACATATCCCAACGCAATCATGTAACCAGGAGAGTGAATCAATACCTACTGCACGTGTATAGACATGACATATCCCATGCCAGTCATGTAACCAGGAGAGTGAATCAATACCTACTGCACGTGTATAGACATTACATATGCCCCGTCCACTATGTAACCAAGAGAGTGAATCAATACATACTGCACGTGTATAGACAATAGATATCCCATGCCAGTCATGTAACCAGGAGAGTGAATCAATACCTACTGCACGTGTATAGACATTACATATCCCATGCCAGTCATGTAACCAGGAGAGTGAATCAATACCTACTGCACGTGTAAAGACATTACATATTCCCGTCCACTATGTGCCCAGGAGAGTTAATCAATACCTACTGCACGTGTATATACATTACATATCCCCGCCCACTGTGTGCCCAGGAGAGTGAATCAATACCTACTGCACGTGTAAAGACATTACATATCCCTGCCCACTATGTGCCCAGGAGAGTGAATCAATACCTACTGCACGTGTATAGACATTACATATCCCCGTCCACTATGTGCCCAGGAGAGTGAATCAATACCTACTGCACGTGTATAGATATAACACATCCCCGCCCACTATGTGCCCAGGAGAGTGAATCAATACCTACTGCACGTGTATAGATATAACACATCCCCGCCCACTATGTGCCCAGGAGAGTGAATCAATACCTACTGCACGTGTATAGACATTACATATCCCATGCCAGTCATGTAACCAGGAGAGTGAATCCACACCTACTGCACGTGTATAGACATTACATATGCCCCGTCCACTATGTAACCAAGAGAGTTAATCAATACCTACTGCACGTGTGTATACATTACATATCCCAACCCAATCATGTAACCAGGAGAGTGAATCAATACCTACTGCACGTGTATAGACATTACATATCCCCGTCCACTATGTAACCAGGAGAGTGAATAAATACCTACTGCACGTTTGTATACATTACATATCCCATGCCAATCATTTAACCAGGAGAGTGAATTAATACCTACTGCACGTATATATATTTGTTATCCATCGTAGTATCACCGAGCGTAGATATGACGTCATTAAGTTCTGAATATAATCACTTCCTTATATCTAAACGTATGGACCGAACTTATTTGCAATGTCAAGTTGTAACTATCTCATCTCTTCTTTTTTCAGACATTCCGAAGGCAATGGTCGGACAGTAGAGGGCAGGTACATGTTTGGTTAACATCTTTGGAATAAAAGTTTAACAGACAACATGGCACAAAGAGTCATGAATGAACAGGAGAAACGGGCACTTCAACATCTCACTTGTGATTTTGTCGAAACACTCGATCCAAAATATCATGTAATTGACTTTCTTTATTCAAAAGAACAGTTGACTCATCTTGAATATGAGGAGTTGTTGGGGATAACTAACCGAGCAACACAATGCCGGGACCTCCTCGGCATCGTCAGAAGGAAGTGTTCAATGGACGTGTTCCTAAGTTCGCTGTGTCTCAACAATGGCTATACATTCCTTGCAGACAAAATAAAGGAAGTGCTACGTCAACTGGAGTTGGAGCAGGTAACAAATGGAAGATGTACTAGACCTCGGAAAAGGAGAAGAACTTCTCAACGTGATGTTGATGAAGATGAGTATGAGGTTAAGGAGGAAGATGGCACGTCATCCAACAAGAACATCTGTCCAATGTGCAAATGTCCTGCTAGAATTAACACCATGACAAAAAAGAAGAGGATTCTTACAAAAATGCAACAACATTTAAAGTTTCTTTGTATGGAGGGAAACTCAACAAAGCACGAAACTTTCCTTGGACAACTAGCCTCAAAATGGAAGAATGATGCAGATGTCCAGTTCGTCATCCTGGACGCCCGGGCACGAAACATGAGGGTGTCCAGCCCAGACGTGTCGGGGGACACTGACTACTTTAAAGAAATGGCGTCCCTTATTCCATTCACATCAGACCCTACGTCCTCCAGCATGATTTTCCTGGCTCGTAAAGCATCAGTGTTTGATGTGAAAGGGCGAGCTAAAGATGGCCTGACAGTTTTAGGATACGCCAAAACTCACGCTGATCGTGTTGTCCCATGCAGGGATACCGGTCTTGTCATATACATGGAAATCAACCTCCTGTTGAAAGAGTATGAGCTTGAGCCGACCGAGGACATGAAAAATCAGATAATAGAAAGAATAAAGGAAGCAATCGAAGTTCACTTCAGTCAAGAAGAAGATGACGTGAAAGAAGATTGTTCCAGAATGCTGTATGTGAAGATGGCTTGTTTTTATCTAGGAATTGGGCTTATGGGAAACAAAATTGCGGGTTTCCGGACTACAGTGCGCGACCGCAAGGCCGCCGAGTGTGTCCTAGATCGTGTTGAAGCTACATGGCAGAACATGGATGCCAGAAGGAAAATGTTCTTCTATTTAGCCAAAGCTGTCTTGAGCCAAGAGACGGGGCAGATGGAAAGAGCACTACATTTTGGAGAAATCGCAAAACAGATGGGCGAGATTGGACAGTTTAAACGCGAACTACAAAATATTGATCCTTTGACCCGAGACCTCGCTATTGAAAACGATCGGATGATTTCCATGAAAGGCGAGGATATTATTCAGGAGTTCCACAAGCTGAGCAATGACGGGGAAACTGTCAGAGACATCCCACAGCCCTGAGTATTTATGTCATGTGGATATTGGTCTTTCTCAGAATTCTCTGTGTCTTCCAAAAGTGAGATTATAAAACATTGTTTGTTAAATGTGACATCATGTGGCAGATTTACATATATATGGTTTTCTAATCAGTGTGACCAGTTTTGATCCAGTGTGCAAATGCTTGTTATATGGAGTACCATTTCACGGTGTAATCCAGCTCTGTCACTGCAACTGTGATGCTACTATTTATTTAATTTGTGAAGTAAGGAGTTGCTTACTGTACGGGTCATCAAATTACGAATTGTTTGCAGACCCAGGCTGGGATAATGAACTGGCCATGACTTTGAGATTCCGACTGTTGGTTAGGTGGATGATCTTGACAGAAATATCTCTTTTATTTTGAATGACATCTTCTAGATTGAAGTTGGTGGTTTTTTTAAACATTTTTTTTCTTATATTTCCACATAATCCGCTATTCTTGTTATTTAGCTTTTGTCTCATCAAAGTGAGTGAGTATGGGTTCACGCCGCTTTAAGCAATGGTCCAGAAATATTACGGCGGGGGACACCAGAAATGGGCTTTACACATTGTACCCGATCGAACCAGGGTCTTCGGCGTGAAGTGCGAACGTTTTAATCACTCGGATACCCGACCGCCCCGTCTCTACCTTCTTTAACATGAACACCGAATAATAATCTTTAAAATAGAAATGAAAGCCCAAGTATAAGTAACGTTTACTACTGCTTAATTACTTAATTCAGCTGATGTTTTAGTACCTTATGTTATAATTATTTTTAACTTAATGTTTGAAAAAGCTTATTTCAAAAATTCAAAAATTCCAAGTTCTGGAGTGAATGCTTTGATAAAAGTGTTGAATCCCAGGTCGGTTTCCGTCGTTGCTATTCAACAACTGAAAATATGTGTATCAGCCATACAACGATATCTAGGACAGAAGCGAGGCAAATTATATGCCGTATTTGTCGATTCAGCCAAGGCTCGGTGAATAGAGTTAACCCTGGACAGTTTTGTATGATAATGGTGTTTTACCGAAAATGTACCACTGCATTAAAGCTCTTATGATGGTGTTAACTCTTGTGTAAGATTTGATGACCATCGCACGGAGACCTTTGAATGTCACGTCGGTTTCCGTCAAGGGTGTGTTTTGAGCCTTTTTTTGTTTTGAGTTTTTATTGATGAGTCGGCTAACGAAATAGAAAAATCCTGTGAACCAGGAATACGACTACATCCAGATATTAATCAACTATTTCTTCAGTTGTTCGCCGAATGATGTGATTCTTATTTCTGACACCGTTTTCGGACTTTAGAAACGAATAAATGTCTTAGCTAAGTATTGTAATAATCACAGTTTAACTGTAAATTTGGATAAGACCAAGGGTGTGGGGGTATCATTTCTAGGTTTGATAAGTGATAAACAGTTAGCGTGTGTATATCTTCTTATAAGTATTTGAGTCAGTTATTTTTCCAAGTAGGGGCGGTCGGATAGCCTAGTGGTTAAAGCGTTCGCTCGTCACGCCGAAGACCCGGGTTCGATTCCCGACATGGGTACAATGTGTGAAGCCCATTTCTGGTGTCCCCCGCCGTGATATTGCTGGAATATTGCTACAAGCGGCGTGAAACCATACTCACTCACTCACTATTTTTCCAAGTAAGATTAAAGTTGGAATAATCATATCACTAATTCCGCTACACAGACCAAGGCTGTGTTATACACTGTAAACCTCTTGCCAACTTCTAACCTATTCCATATAGTTTGTTCTTCAGAACAGTTGACACCTAAGTTTTGCCTGTTCTTTTATACAGGTTTGAAATCTGGGGTATCGACAACTTTAGGAAATTGAATGTGTACACTTGTCAGCTTTCGAGCGTTTCCTGGCGGTTACAGCGGCTACACCAAACCATATTGTGCGGGGAGAATGTGGGAGATATCCCCTACATACATGGGCTCTTAAACGATGTGGTATTTACTGGTGTAAATTATTAAAACTCCCCAATGTAGATATCCTAGAAAATGTTATAGTATGCTGTATCAAGCTTTGACAAATGACAAGCGTAACTGGGCTTCAAAGATAAAGTTTATATTGTAGAAGCATGGTTTTGGATACGTATAGGAAAAACAAGAAGTTTGCTTTCCAGACTCGTTTTTATCTGAATTCACAATTGTTCATATGTACAAGATCGGCATTCTTCACTCACAAATAGCTCTAAAATGTCCACTTATTCACTGTTCAAAACTGATTTTGTTGTAGAGCCATATATTGATTGCTCCAGAGAGCAAGGATTATGACTCGTTTGTAAACAGGGTTACATTGTCAGATGCATGATAATTTTCCTAAACAGTATATACCATCAAAATATTTTGTCCATCCTACCCTTCACAAATTCAGTATACACTTGTGAATGTACTACAAGAAATGTCGCTGTATTTATATACCATGCGGTGCGCTTGAGAATGGACTAGTTATAGTAATCATGAAAGACAGGGATCTGTATTCAGACCTTAAAGTCTGTGCAAGCTTTTTGTATTACTTATATTGTATGTAAACCAAGATTGGAGGACCCGTTACGTCATAGGCCGGGAGTTTAAAGGGGGAAAGAGGCATATTGTAACTTGATGGTGTCCTCTCTTCTCCCAGGCACTGGATGCACACAGCATCAGGAGATTGGTTGTTGGCTATGGGGACTTTGATGGTGTCCTCTCTTCTCCCAGGCACTGGATGAACACAGTATCAGGAGATTGATTGTTGGCCATGGGGACTTTGATGGTGTCCTCTCTTCTCCCAAGCACTGGATGCACACAGCATCAGGAGATTGGTTGTTGGCTATGGGGACTTTGATGGTGTCCTCTCTTCTCCCAGGCACTGGATGCACACAGCATCAGGAGATTGGTTGTTGGCTATGGGGACTTTGATGGTGTCCTCTCTTCTCCCAGGCACTGGATGCACACAGCATCGGGACATTGGTTGTTGGCTATGGGGACTTTGATGGTGTCCTCTCTTCTCCCAGGCACTGGATGAACACAGCATCAGGAGATTTGTTGTTGGCTATGGGGACTTTGATGGTGTCCTCTCTTCTCCTAGGCACTGGATGCACACAGCATCTGGAGATTGGTTGTTGGCTATGGGGACTTTGATGGTGTCCTCTCTTCTCCCAGGCACTGGATGCACACAGCATCGGGACATTGGTTAGTCGATCTCACTGGTTGGCAGAGCGAAATATTTTGCAACGTAAAACACCACACGAGTACGGGTCATCGCCCACAATGTCCTGAATGAAGATTAATAATGGATTTTACATTTGTATCAGCGAGAGGTTCCGAGCTTTCAGACGCCGCCATGTATCCCGGGATAAATAGTTGGGATGTCTGTTCAAACACAGAAGTCCACCATTGAGTCCACAGCACTTTATTCGTCATCTTATGAGTAGCTGCATAGAAGCACAACAATAGCAAGGCGGCAACTTGGAGCCGATAGTCAGCCAACCTGCCCAGCCCTGTAAGGTCGGACAAGTGCAGGCCAACTGATAGAAAGCTGCGATATTTCCCTGTTGTTACATAAGAGACGCCCTATCCACAAGAGTCGCTTGATACATCACATAGCTTCAGGAAGATAAAGTATATCGTTCTGTTTAAATATTAGAAGGTGTATGTAAAAGTCAAAGTCAAAATTAGTTTATTTGTGTGTAGGCCTTTGGCCCATATGCAAGAAATGCAGCGCCAGCAATACAAAGTGAATTTTTTTTTTATGAATATATACATAATATTGCAGACGTTTTAATAACTCATCCTGAGTTGTACACAATAAACTTTTGAATTTATATATAGTTGGAAATTGCCAATACAGTTATGGCAAATACACTTTACGCAGTTCAGTATAATGTTTACAAATCAATACGAAATGATATTCATCTTCAACAGACAAATTGCAAACAGGACACATACGTGAACATGATTCAATAGATTGCCATCTTCCCTCGTTCTGTCGTAAAGGTAAAACATTACATCTTAATTCAATAAAAAACACTGCGTACATTGTAAATACTCAAATATCTTTCAGGTTCAAACAGTGTTTTATATTCTTTATACATCACATATCAGGTACTACTGATGAGTGTTGACATCCAGTTTTGACGAAATACAAGACACGTTTTAAGCACCCCAATGAAAGCTGCATTGTCCCCAACAGACTTGTTTAACTATACAAATCCCAAACCATGCGAAAATAAAATGTTACGAACAGATGCTACCCAAGTATTATGACCAATGTTGTCGAAATACATCAGCATGTTATATACTTTTCTTGGGATACTCCCTTCATGCATTCTGGTTAATTGTAACCAAGACTTTATCATGCGGACCTGTGCATTGACATAAAGCGGGTAGCGACAACATTCACCATAGACAATGGCATTGGGCGTTTCTTTTCCCACCTTTAAAAAACTTTTACATTCCAAAAGATGAACCCGTTCTAAGTGATCATACCGCTGGTAACCCCATACTTCTATAAAATATATATGGACAATATTTAAGATAGATACACTCAAAAGTATCCGCGTCTAAACAGCGGGAATGCGTAGTATAATGTACAAGCTGGTTTCACAAATCACTGGCGGCCCCAGATGAGGGTGTAGGGGTGCATTTTTTATGTTAACTGCGCCCTCGGCCAAGTCACTTCGTATTATATGGTATGATATATGTGCAACACACACCCCCTCCCCACCACCCATTTTGTTAGAAATTCTGGATCCGCCCCTGAAATGGTTTGAATATATTAAATTTACGTTCAGGCTGTGTGCACGTCACTTTGTTATGAATACCTGCATTCAGTGCCTGGCAGTACAGCTTGTTATAACTGCCTCGACGCTGTTCTGCCTTTCATGACTCTACACCTGTACATTTATCCCTGATTGAATCAAGTTGGCTTGCTGTGTGACACAACGTATCCGGGTTTGGCCAATGTTAAATTCATCTGGTACGAAACACGTCAGCATTACTCGTGATATACCCTGTATGTACGATCACACAACCAGTGTCCGATCGAAGCAACGCCGTCACTTCCATTCGGAAAGCCTGGTGTTCATGTAGATGGTAACTCCACTTGTCATGTAAGTATTAAACACTGAAATACCATGAACTGAGAGACGATAGAGTAATAACTGCAAGTGCGCATTACAAAACCGTAACACACGTTGCTGTAAAACATGACAAGGTCAAGGACGCTATCAATAATCTGAGTATGGGGTATTCTGTTGGAGAAGGTGGGATACCCCCGGAATTCTTTAAAATACCATCGGACCCCTTTGCACCATCCTTGTAGTTTACTGTTTAATAAGACTTTAGACACGGGTGTGATTCCAGGACCATGGAATATCAGAATGATTATTGGGTCAGCTTGTGATTCAAGTACTTATAGAACCACCTCACTGAGGTATTTCACTACTTAATGTTATGGTAATATTCTTCAGGTCAATCATAGAAAAACGATGGAGAATATGGATGGAAGTAAATGATTTACTGTCCGAGCCTTAAGCAGGGTCCCGGTCGACCGGTCGATCCACTGTTGATAATTTGTTTGTTTTACAAGTTCTTTGTTCTAAACACACTGATGGAATCGAATAAGGGAGCAATGAAAAATGTAGGGAAATATGTTTTACTGTCAGTACATTTGAAAATTCGACACATTTCAGAATCAAATGTTAAGATGTGTTCATTTCTGAAGATTCGAACATAGCTCGCAACTAGATGACGTCGTAAGTTGGACGACATTGTTTTTTAGAGGGAATCATCTAGTGAGTTGTTCCCACAGATGTAGCTGGGCAACGCAGATAAATGCAATGGCCGAACGATCGCTTCCAAAGTGGGCGAGGTATGAAGATCGGTATAGGGAGAAAAGGTACAGATAATCGCGGTGACAATTGTAAGAATATCCGTGAAATACCAAACTTAAATCCCCTGTTCATCAACATTGCCGAGATCGAATTATGGGCCTTGATGCCTAATTTACTTAACAAACTGTCTGTCAGAACACTATTTAGTCATTTACATTTCGATGTATACAGTTTCACCGACAAAGGCTTGTCTGGTAGTTCATCTATATCATTATCATGAATACGTGTAATATGTTTTGAAATCGAACACAAGCATTGTCATAAGTGCCTATCACGTACAACAGTACTCGCCATGTGCTACAGCATGTCTCGCGGCCGTGTGACAAGGAGGAGTTGTAGTATAGCAAGGTATGACTGGTATAGCGAGGTATGACTGGTATAACAGATAGTATGTCTGTAAGGGTTGTTATTGTTGCTTACTTGTTGCGGAATGTTTATGCTTTACTAGTTGAAAAGGAACTGGTGATGTCAAGTTCCTAATATTATTGAATAATCACTTTTATAAAGACAGTGTTTGGTACTTATAATCGTATGTTAATTGTGACCACCAAGTCTTTCTTTTTTAGTAGAAACTCCGTGAAGCAAGTAATGAAAACTGTTTGGCCTGAATGAAAACGTTTGCGGTCTTTGTAATATTTTTTAAGTTGTATGCAGTATGCCATTTGCTACTCTTTAGGGGTGCGGGCGCTTGATATTTCTTTTTCGAAAAACATAAATTGTCCCCGAAAATTCTTTAAAAAACATAATTATGCTTCATATATATGGGGGAAAAGAAATTGTCTGTCACCCAGATAACATTGCTGCAATGTTTTTTAAGATAAAAATATTTTTGCTTATATAAAATATCTGGTTTTGTAGCTCTTGATGAAAAAACCATCTGGTCTCAATACAAATTCCCTGGCCCCCCTCAGAATATCAAATGGACGGTCTCTAACCGGATGCACGACGTTGATTACAGTGTCATAATTTATATTTTCCATTTTTGTTTAGCATGAAGCATATAATATCCTCCTTTTTACAAACATTATGTTTAATAACTACCTTGATAGTAGTCCTATTGACACGAGAGCTTGTCTAATACCCCCTTCACATGCACAACATTCATTCACGCAAGTAATTTGGGACATGTGTAACTGTACATACGTGTGTATATGGATATGTACATAGATGTGTAAATAAGGTGTGTAAATGTTGTAAGGCTCATACATTCATCAGCCTGTTCACGAATTTCAACATGAAAAGGTTGTTTTCCAATAAAATGCAGGACTTGTTAGAATAAAATTAATCCAAAGAGGTTTGATTGACATACTAGAAATTGGCACATAAGTAAGAAAAGCGAACAACTTTATGGATAACAACTTCTGGTTTATTGCATATAGCGATATTTCTATGTAGAGTCTTACACAGTTATCAAGCTGGAGGGACAACAACCAAGTGAAGAGAGGTATATACGCATGACATGTTGTGATAAGCAGCAGATTAACATAGACAACAACCAAGTGAAGAGAGGTATATACGCATGACATGTTGTGATAAGCAGCAGATTAACATAGACAACAACCAAGTGAAGAGAGGTATATACGCATGACATGTTGTGATAAGCAGCAGATTAACATAGACAACAACCAAGTGAAGAGAGGTATATACGCATGACATGTTGTGATAAGCAGCAGATTAACATAGACAACAACCAAGTGAAGAGAGGTATATACGCATGACATGTTGTGATAAGCAGCAGATTAACATAGACAACAACCAAGTGAAGAGAGGTATATACGCATGACATGTTGTGATAAGCAGCAGATTAACATAGACAACAACCAAGTGAAGAGAGGTATATACGCATGACATGTTGTGATAAGCAGCAGATTAACATAGACAACAACCAAGTGAAGAGAGGTATATACGCATGACATGTTGTGATAAGCAGCAGATTAACATAGACAACAACGGGCAGTTGTGAAGAGGTTGAAAAGTGATGACTTGACAACTAGTCATGCCAGTGGGTTATAAGGATAGATCGCAATTGTCGACGACACACCAACCTAAATAACCACCTAAAAAAATTTAAAAAACACACTACAGGTAACTGCCCACACTGCAAACAACCAGAAACCCCAGAACACGCACTCATCCACTGCACACACTACCTAACACATCGAGCCGCATTACAAACCACCTTCAATCTAAACAAGGCTCCAACTCTAGAAGCAATACTAAACCCACAAAATAAACTAGAAAACTTCAAGGCCTTAGGCGTATTCTTAATAAAAACGGAACTAATAAAACGCATCTAAAAACACAATAACCTACCAAATCAAAATCACATAAACAAACATCCACCATACCCAGCTCCCTTAGTTCTCCTCCCCAATCCCATCGGCATCTATTCCAAATCTCAAAATTCCCAAATTCTACATAAGCAACCCCTAAAACCCCCCTCTTGGGTTGCACAGACCACCTTCGCCCCTTTCGGAAACACATTAAATGGCCTGGCCGGGCCCGTGTGCGAAATACGCATCAGTCGGAAAGCGCACGTTAAATCTCCAAAGTAAGTAAGTATGTAAGTAAGTCGACGATAGTCATGTACATTCAAGGTATCAGTAGTTGACACTGATGCCGCTACGCTATCGGCAGTATCGATTGAGGTAAAACTTAAAAGCATATTGTTGATCATAAGAATTTCCATTAGCTTTGATACAAACTACAGTTTATTTGAAGGTATACTTTTGGGTATCCATTTGAAAACGTGTCCTAACTGTGCCAGACCATGACCAGAAGTACCTCCTCAACAACGCCCACAGTAACCTGTCGCATTTTGTACTTGGTCGACATGAAAAGACAAGTCAAACTGAGGTTTCATGTCGAATAATGCAAAGAAAAATACAATAAAGTACCAATCGAACTGTCGTAATACTATTGCAATAGTGGTGCATGTACTGTAATATTATCACAATAGTGTTTTAACTATTGCAATAGTAAAATTGCCTTCGACAGTTTACCAATGCCAGAAGATTTGTTACCTCAGAATACGTATATTGAGTTCATAATAAACATTGTAAGTACAAGGGCTAGCACGTGTGATTAATCATATATGTGGTAGTGCACATGGTGTCACGACAAGGACCAATATGTGTGATTAATCATATCCGAGGTAGTGCACATGGTGTGAGTACAAGGGCTAGCACGTGTGATTAATCATATATGTGGTAGTGCACATGGTGTGAGTACAAGAACTAGCACGTGTGATTAATCATATATGTGGTAGTGCACATGGTGTGAGTACAAGGGCTAGCACGTGTGATTAATCATATCCGAGGTAGTGCACATGGTGTGAGTACAAGGGCTAGCACGTGTGATTAATCATATCCGAGGTAGTGCACATGGTGTGAGTACAAGGGCTAGCACGTGTGATTAATCATATCCGAGGTAGTGCACATGGTGTGAGTACAAGGGCTAGCACGTGTGATTAATCATATCCGAGGTAGTACACATGGTGTCAGTACAAGGGCTAGCACGTGTGATTAATCATATCCGAGGTAGTGCACATGGTGTCAGTACAAGGGCTAGCACGTGTGATTAATCATATCCGAGGTAGTGCACATGGTGTGAGTACAAGGGCTAGCACGTGTGATTAATCATATATGTGGTAGTGCACATGGTGTGAGTACAAGGGCTAGCACGTGTGATTAATCATATCCGAGGTAGTACACATGGTGTGAGTACAAGGGCTAGCACGTGTGATTAATCATATATGTGGTAGTGCACATGGTGTGAGTACAAGGGCTAGCACGTGTGATTAATCATATCCGAGGTAGTGCACATGGTGTGAGTACAAGGGCTAGCACGTGTGATTAATCATATATGTGGTAGTGCACATGGTGTCAGTACAAGGACCAATATGTGTGATTAACCATATCCGAGGTAGTGCACATGGTGTGAGTACAAGGGCTAGCACGTGTGATTAATCATATCCGAGGTAATACACATGGTGTGAGTAGAAGGGCTAGCACGAGTGATTAATCATATATGTGGTAGTGCACATGGTGTGAGTACAAGGGCTAGCACGTGTGATTAATCATATCCGAGGTAGTGCACATGGTGTGAGTACAAGGGCTAGCACGTGTGATTAATCATATCCGAGGTAGTACACATGGTGTGAGTACAAGGGCTAGCACGTGTGATTAATCATATATGTGGTAGTGCACATGGTGTGAGTACAAGGGCTAGCACGTGTGATTAATCATATATGTGGTAGTGCACATGGTGTCAGTACAAGGACCAATATGTGTGATTAACCATATCCGAGGTAGTGCACATGGTGTGAGTACAAGGGCTAGCACGTGTGATTAATCATATATGTGGTAGTGCACATGGTGTCAGTACAAGAACTAGCACGTGTGATTAATCATATATGTGGTAGTGCACATGGTGTCAGTACAAGGACCAATATGTGTGATTAACCATATCCGAGGTAGTGCACATGGTGTGAGTACAAGGGCTAGCAAGTTTGATTAATCATATATGTGGTAGTGCACATGGTGTGAGTACAAGGGCTAGCACGTGTGATTAATCATATATGTGGTAGTGCACATGGTGTCAGTACAAGAACTAGCACGTGTGATTAATCATATATGTGGTAGTGCACATGGTGTCAGTACAAGGACCAATATGTGTGATTAACCATATCCGAGGTAGTGCACATGGTGTGAGTACAAGGGCTAGCAAGTTTGATTAATCATATATGTGGTAGTGCACATGGTGTGAGTACAAGGGCTAGCACGTGTGATTAATCATATATGTGGTAGTGCACATGGTGTCAGTACAAGAACTAGCACGTGTGATTAATCATATATGTGGTAGTGCACATGGTGTCAGTACAAGAACTAGCACGTGTGATTAATCATATATGTGGTAGTGCACATGGTGTCAGTACAAGGACCAATATGTGTGATTAACCATATCCGAGGTAGTGCACATGGTGAGAGTAGAAGGGCTAGCACGTGTGATTAATCATATCCGAGGTAGTGCACATGGTGTGAGTAGAAGGGCTAGCACGTGTGATTAATCATATCCGAGGTAGTGCACATGGTGTGAGTAGAAGGCTAGCACGTGTGATTAATCATATCCGAGGTAGTGCACATGGTGTGAGTACAAGGGCTAGCACGTGTGATTAATCATATCCAAGGTAATACACATGGTGTCAGTACAAGGGCTAGCACGTGTGATTAATCATATATGTGGTAGTGCACATGGTGACAGTACAAGAACTAGCACGTGTGATTAACCATATCCGAGGTAGTGCACATGGTGTGAGTAGAAGGGCTAGCACGTGTGATTAATCATATCCGAGGTAGTGCACATGGTGTCAGTACAAGGGCTAGCACGTGTGATTAATCATATCCGAGGTAGTACACATGGTGTCAGTACAAGGGCTAGCACGTGTGATTAATCATATATGTGGTAGTGCACATGGTGTGAGTACAAGGGCTAGCACGTGTGATTAATCATATCCGAGGTAGTGCACATGGTGTGAGTACAAGGGCTAGCACGTGTGATTAATCATATATGTGGTAGTGCACATGGTGTGAGTACAAGGGCTAGCACGTGTGATTAATCATATCCGAGGTAGTGCACATGGTGTGAGTACAAGGGCTAGCACGTGTGATTAATCATATATGTGGTAGTGCACATGGTGTGAGTACAAGGGCTAGCACGTGTGATTAATCATATATGTGGTAGTGCACATGGTGTCAGTACAAGGGCTAGCACGTGTGATTAATCATATATGTGGTAGTGCACATGGTGTGAGTAGAAGGGCTAGCACGTGTGATTAATCATATCCGAGGTAGTGCACATGGTGTCAGTACAAGGGCTAGCACGTGTGATTAATCATATCCGAGGTAGTGCACATGGTGTCAGTACAAGGGCTAGCACGTGTGATTAATCATATCCGAGGTAGTGCACATGGTGTGAGTACAAGGGCTAGCACGTGTGATTAATCATATATGTGGTAGTACACATGGTGTCAGTACAAGGGCTAGCACGTGTGATTAATCATATATGTGGTAGTGCACATGGTGTCAGTACAAGAACTAGCACGTGTGATTAACCATATCCGAGGTAGTGCACATGGTGTGAGTAGAAGGGCTAGCACGTGTGATTAATCATATCCGAGGTAGTGCACATGGTGTGAGTAGAAGGGCTAGCACGTGTGATTAATCATATATGTGGTAGTGCACATGGTGTCAGTACAAGGGCTAGCACGTGTGATTAATCATATCCGAGGTAGTGCACATGGTGTGAGTAGAAGGGCTAGCACGTGTGATTAATCATATCCGAGGTAGTGCACATGGTGTCAGTACAAGGGCTAGCACGTGTGATTAATCATATCCGAGGTAGTGCACATGGTGTGAGTAGAAGGGCTAGCACGTGTGATTAATCATATATGTGGTAGTGCACATGGTGTGAGTAGAAGGGCTAGCACGTGTGATTTATCATATCCGAGGTAGTGCACATGGTGTGAGTAGAAGGGCTAGCACGTGTGATTAATCATATCCGAGGTAGTGCACATGGTGTCAGTACAAGGGCTAGCACGTGTGATTAATCATATCCGAGGTAGTGCACATGGTGTGAGTAGAAGGGCTAGCACGTGTGATTAATCATATCCGAGGTAGTGCACATGGTGTGAGTAGAAGGGCTAGCACGTGTGATTAATCATATATGTGGTAGTGCACATGGTGTCAGTACAAGGGCTAGCACGTTTGATCAATCATATCTGAAGTACTGCACATGGTGTCAATGTAATTTGCAATCACAATGTGTTTATATCTTATGTATCATATCTGTGGTTTTGCACGTGGTGTCAAGCAAATAAGCTTGCAGAATGTGTGTACATGGTTGATTAAGTGAGTAAACGGTGTTTGTCCCTGTGGTATCACTGTCAATTGTCTGCATTGAAAAAATATTAATGCTTAATCTCTTCGATGAAACTGTTGGCTCTGTTTGATTGTAATAGTTTGGCTTGTTGTCACTTCATATCATAATTGATATACTTCCAGAATAAGCACAATTGGGATACGAGTCAAGAGATGAAAGCATTCCATTCGGTTGATATGCACAGCGTGGAAATGGGCCGACTAAAACTGCGAACGATGGTGTCGAAGTATGAAATGTCAAAGTCAAGATCAGAACAGAGAGCCAACTTGGATGACATGTCATTGATGCCTGTGGAAATAATGAACTTTGACATGATGTCATGTGACAGGAACCAACAGGGCTGCTCCAACATGCAGCAAGACTTCTGTGTCATCATTGCATTTTGTATCTTCATGGTGATCGGTTTGTATCAGCTATATATTTCTGCAAACAGTGTCTGATACTTTGTGAACAGAGGCTGGCCCTATGTGAACAGATGTTAGTACCAGTCGAACAGAGGCTAGTGCTAGTTGAACAGAGGATGATACTAGTTGAACAGAGGCTAGTGCTAGTGAAATGCCAGACATTGTTTAATTAAAAGCATAATGTGGTGTTACAAATGTCAAGTTACTGAAGCATGCTGTAAATAAAGGTAGAAATATGCTGTTTGCAGATCTTTAAATTCTGAATAACCTTGAAATGTTACATGTCTTTGACACGTGGCAAGTAAAGAAGAAAGTCCTCACAAAAAATGTCTTGTATTTTCATGAATTCCATGTCTTGACAATAGTGGCGACCTTGACCTCCATTCGAAGTTTTCCAGAATCTTCTCAAAATACAACTCTACCCAAAAGATCATGTATGTAAAGTATCAATTCAATTCAAACATTCAATTTGAGCTATCAGATGTGATTGGGAATGACTTAAATGCCCTACTGACGATACTTCAAAACTACAAAACTATTTTCTGTTCATTGCATAAATTCATGACCTTCAAAGTGACCTTGATATCCAGTGAGCGATAGTGGTTGTGAAGTCTTTGATAGGCATTTAGAAGTTGGGAGAACATTAATACAGGACACCTTTTTATGGATTGCAACTTCTTTATTCTTTATACAACATTTCTGAGCTCCGTGAATGCTGCGTAAGCGCATAGAGTACTATTTATCACAATAGCCAGATCCTTGTCAACACTACAACTTCAGTGTTCTAATTAATCCCCTCAGTTCATCTCATTGGCCTCGTCATAATAATGCTATCTTAAACCTATCCCATCAGCTTCATCATTATATTGTCATCTTTGTACATTAATCCTAAGTCTATGTCATTGCCTGTGTGACCCGTGAAGATATTCGGGGTAGAATATGTCTCCAGCAACCCACGCTTGCTGTAAAAGACGACTCCGCTTGTCGTAAGAGGCGACGAACAGGATCGGACGGTCAGGCTTGCTGACTTGGTTTGATTGATGCATGTCATTGTATCCCAATTGCGTGTACCCATGTGCATGACGTTAATCACTGGATTGTCTGGTTAAGACTCGATAATTTACAGACCTCCATCATATAGATTGAATATTGCTGTGTGCGGTGTTAAACAACAAACAAACAAACAAAATCATTGGCTTTGTCATTATGTTATATGTGTACATTCATCCAACCTTGTGCTTTGTAAACATCATGCTATATATATAGTACTCTTTGCACTAATTCTATTTCCATCCATCATGGTCTTCGGACGTCATTCCACTCTGTGTGCGCTCATCATCATCAACATCATCATACCTACCATCAAATATCAAGACTTCAAGCCAATCCAACTCAAACACCACAAAAGTCTCCTCTACAGTCCGACCCCCCGCCTCCAGCCTTGACGTCCCAGCTACCACGGCCGGCTCACAGCACAAGCGTCCAAAACAACCAGCCGCCATTTTCATTACAGCACCAACGGACACCCACCCTTCCTGGCTTTCAAAACGACTCATTTTTTTTTTACCGCCCTCACTTTCTTTTATGGATTAAGCCTTTTCAGCAGGGGGAAATATGACCTCCCTAATACTATCCACGTCCATTAAATATCTGGGTAATTTTTGTCAAAGTTTCTAAAATTTAACATTACTTTGTCCGGAAAAATGAAATTTGATGATAAAATAACAAAGCAGATGACAATAAAACCAATCGCCCAAACGTATCGCCATGGTAACCCGATCTACGTGAGTTCCGTGCAAACTGAAATGAAAATGGGTTCCACCCAGATCGGATAACATTCATTCGTTATTGAATTGCTACCACATGCCAAGATTGACAAGAAATCAGCAACACCAAGCCCTTGGACTATTGCAAGCTGGACAAACCGCCCGGCAAGTTGCCAATGCATTTCAAGCCCACGTAAGGACCATATACAGGCTCAAGCAACGGTACCAGACCACCACCAACACTACAGATGACCGACTGCGTAGAAGAAGACCAAGGGTCACCACCTGACGTCAGGATCGTCAGATTGTGTGACAGCATCTTCAAAGTCGCTTTGTTTCTGCTGCGGAAACTGCTCGACAGATTATGGGGACACACCAGAGACACATTAGTGTGGACACCATGCATCGACGATTAACGAGCAGACACCTCCACTGTCACAGGCCACACCGAGGACCCGTTCTGACACCACGTCATCGCCGGGTCGTCTTGAGTGGGCAACACAGCACCAGCATTGGCGCCACCAGCTGTGGAGAAGAGTCCTCAGTTCTCAGACGAGAGCCATTACTGTAACTCAACAGCAGATGGAAGAGAGAGAGTCTTGCGATGCTGTGGGGAACATTATTCAGATGCTTGTGTTGTTCAGAGGCTTGTGGGGTGGTCCGAGTATCATGGCGTGGGGAGAATTGGTCTTCACAGAACATCGGTCCACAATGGTGTCACAGCAGCTCGGTACATTGATCAAGTCTTGAGACCACACGCCATACCCCATTTGTCACGTCACCACAACCACGAGTTTCAGTATGATAACGCCCGTGAGAGCAACAAGAGACTTCCTCCAGCAGAATGGCATCAGAACCATGCAGTTGCCTGTCCTCAGTCCCGATTTAAATCCCATTGAGCACATGTGGGACGAGATCCAAAGACGGCTGAATGACGTCCGACCAAGGCTGACAACTGCGTCAGGCGTTCCTCAGAGTGTGGGCTTAAGTGGCCTTAATCAACCGCCTCATCCATTCCATGTATCCATGTTGCACGGCAATCATCTATGCACATAGCGAACACACGGGATACTGACTTGTGTTGTGTTTCACTTTAAGAACATTTGACACTTTAATTTCAACCTTGATGATCAGTTTTGCCTAGTATCATCTTTATAATATGTCTCGAAGTATGTTTACAGTGTCTTTTGCGGTTCAGTATATGTAAACATTTGTGGCCGAGGCTTTAAAATTACTTTTCCTGATCAAACCTCACTAAATACAGCATGAAGATCCCCAATCATTGACAGGCTAAATATAAACTGGAAAACCCCCTGCTGGCAGGCACGAACATAGGGAGTCATATGTTTTGACAGTCAGGACACCACCCATACATCCAGGAATATATAAACTTAGCCAACCAAATTCACAAACAACCCCAAATCACAGACTTTAAGGCAATCAACAAAAAACAATCAACCTCAGGCAGGACAGTCACACAAACAGTTTTTATCACATTCAAAACAACACTCCCAACACATATCACCTTCAGTGCATTCAAATTTAAAGTACACCCCATAAGAAAAAAACCCACCCAAAGTCAACACTGTCTCTCTTTTGGCCACAAATCAACCACTTGCAAAAGAATCTCCCTATATGTCCCAAGTGCGGCTCCCAAAATCACGCCATTCAAGAATGCACTTGGGCCCCCTACTGTATTAACTGTCAAGCCGAAGGCCATACATCCAACCAAAACACATGCCCCATCAAACAACAACATATACTGAAACTCTACAAAAACATCCAACAATCAGACCTCCCCAAACCCCCCGCAATCATCCCCTTATACAACTACACAACAGATAAACAAGAAGACAACTTCTACCCACTCACTGACCAAACCCGACTATACATTAACAAACTGTATAGAACCTAACACCATCATCCTCAGGGACCTCAATGCACATCATCCATTGTGGGGCACAAGAAATAAATTAAACAGATAAATATGGAAGACTTTGTGTAGATTGGCAGGATAGCAGTAGCCTTATCTCACTAAATCACAATCAACCAACCCGCTATCCAATAAATCATCTTCAAAATCCAACTGCAGTGGACATAACAGTAACTACTGGGAATCTCTTTAAAAAACTAGCTAGGAAGTTCATAATGACACCTGGGGCAGCAACCACTGCCCCATAACCTCATTAAATATATGCCATCAACCCACCCCACCAGCTGAACCCCCCTCCGACACCCTCCCAGCAAATAAAATTCAATTTTAAAAAAGCAAAATGGCAACTATTTACAAAACTAGGCAATCAAACAGACACAGACCAAATCCATGACACATAGACACATTCGACACAAATCTAACTAATAAATTATATGAAATAGCCATAAAATGCATCCCAACAAGTACCACAAACCCCACCCATGCCCCAGTTCCCCTGGTGGAGCTCTGAAATTGAAAAAAACTAGAAAATTAAGAAAAAAGGCTCTCAATAAATCAAATGTCACAGTTAAATCCCATGAAACATTATCAGATACCCACCCATTACAAAATGGCCCCCCACAAGGTAGTATATTGTCGACGACATTATCTAACTTCATGACCGACGACATTTTTCCAAATTCCATTAAAAACAATAATATATCAACAGCAAAATTTGCAGACAATATTTCATTTTGGACCTCCTCATCTTCATTAAACCTAATTGAAACCAAAATACAGTCTGCCTTAAATTGTACTCAAAAGTGGTCTACTAAGTGGGGCTTCCAAATGAACACAAAAAACACTTTTGGCATGCTATTCAAAAAACAACACATGATAAATTATACACCCAAACTACACCTAAAAAATGAAGAAATCATATTCCAAAAAGAAGCAAAATTTCTAGGAGTCACAATTGACTCTTGTGAAAAAGATTTAAACCTAATGAGGATCATCAGAGGCACCGACTGGGGATCAGACAGACAAACACTTCTTAGTATATATAAAACACAAATACAATCAAAAATAGATTATGCCACCCCGGTCTTAAGTGGCATTTCCATCAAAACTAACAATAAGTTAAAATCTGTTCAATCTAAAGCCCTCAGAATAGCCAGGTACCAGGACCGGTACTGCACATAACACACTCTTACTTATGACAGGCACACTTTCAATCACACACAGCAGACAACAAACTAGGGCTGGGACCCAACACAACCCAATATACAGAAAACTCACAACTCACAACAAAATATGACAATATTAAAACTTCCACAATCCAAAAGTTTAAACCCCACCCAGAAAAAGCCCCCTACCTTACCCACCTATGCAAACTACTACAGACCCATAACCTCAATAATATAAAGCACACACGCCTATCCCAACACTACATACATGATCAACCAGCCCTGAAATAGATACCACACTACACAATAAACTACATGCACAACCCAACATCTCCCCTACAGAAAAACAACAACAATAATACTTAATCACATTCACACAAACTGGTCATCTCACACACAGGACGAGGTATCCATGTACACCACGCCCATCCAATAACCACTAATTATCATTGTAAAAATTACACTTATAGTAATACTGCTGTACTAATAGCCATTCTAACAGCCCTCCGCCTAGTTAAAACTCTTAACACCAGCAATATACAATTATCAATTTCATTCTTAATCCAAAACTCACTGACAAACTTTAGACCATCCCAAACAAACCCTGCTTCAAAATCTCAGAATGTAAACAAACTTTTTCCCATTTAGGATTGGGATAGAAATATCCAGCGCGGACAGTCTTCTACGAGGTCCGCACGGGAAATCTCTCTTATCCATACCAATAAAAATGAACACCAATAATCCAGCCAACTGCAAATGTCAAGGTCACCACAGTCACTCTCCCTGCTATCAATCGCCTTCCTACCTCGCCACCACGACTCCTGCCCAAGCTATTATAGACTTAGCTTAGGCTCTTATTCCCTTTTTCTTTCTTTATTAGGCCCCTATATCTAAACAGCTTATCTGCAATACATTTATTACCCAATATGCTATACATTATATATATATATATATATTATACCAAAATAATACATTAGGATAGTAGTAGTTGCATCTGCTGACATAATCATTTTATATTATAGTCTCGCATCTAAATTATTAATCTTTTTACAATACTACTACTTCTTGTACTATTAAATTTAGACATAATACATAGATATAAATATATCATATGTATATATACTAGCCACATAAAGAAGCTGTGCACGGAGAAAATATATTCTGGATTGAAATAAAACACAGCAAGAACAAAATGATGCAGACGCTGTAGCAGCTGAATAATCGGACCATAAGAAAATGTCAACGGGACATGAACAACATCTGTTACGATGACGTCAGAAGATCAAAATGGAGTAGGTGGTCAAACGACAAAGTCACAAAGTCAATAACGGGTATGACCACCCTGTGCGTGAATCACAGCAGTGCATCGGCGACGCATGGAGTCCACCAAATGGGCATGGAAGGCCTGGGGAATGTTATCTGGAGGATGTGGAAGACAACGCAGACGGCGCTCCATTTCATCCCACACATGCTCTATTGGGGAGAGATCTGGAGAAATTGCAGGCCATGTTTTCGGGGTTTGCTTGTGATATGCTTGTGTCTGCGCCTGAGAAGTTTTGAATTTTTGAATGACCACAGATCATGCTTTCCAAAGTGACAGCGAATTTTGAGTTGCACATGCTGTGTACAGCTGCACAGGATGCAAGTGCAGTAACACATTGCACGTCCATAGGCCCCCATCAATGACGTCATATCGCATGGCACGTGCATGAGCGTTTGAATGTCTCCAATAATTGCTGTGTTCAAACCTATCTTTCATATATGGACGGTGTGCCCTTATATCTATATTTTCTCCGTGCACAGTTTCTTTATGTGGCTAGTATATTTGAGGTATAGGTATTATCATGTAGGTTTTTCCCCTACAGACAGTTTTTTTGGAATGGTTATTTATACATATTTCTAACATTATTCTTATTTATCATTGCCCACCTACCCCGTGTACAAAAAGCATTAACTGTGAAGTGGACGTTAAACCCCGAAAACTAAGCATTCACCTGATGAAGGAGCGAGAAGTAGTTCTGAAACATTGTTTTTAAGAATAAAAGAAGTTGCTATCCTTAAAAAAGTGTCCTGTATTCATTTTAGTGGTTATGTTACTCATATTAATTAGTGTCCTATGGGGATATATACCATCTGGATTACTACAGCATCTATAACAACATACTATTGCAACAACAACACTGACAACCACAACTACAACTACTGTTACTACTACCACAACAAAACATTGCTACTAGTTAATGTCGCGTGCCGTAAAAGGCGACAATGCTTGTCGTAAGAGGCGACTAATGGGATCGAGTGGTCAGGTTGGTGATGCACGTCATCACATCCCAATTGCGTAGATCGATGCTCATGATATCAATCACTTGATTGTCTGGCCCAGACTCAATTATTTACAGACTGCTTGCATAAAGCTAGAATATTGCTGAGTGCGGCAGTAAACAACAAACAAACAACAAGAACTATAACTACTACTGCTACAACTACAACTACAACTACAAACACTAATGTCAGGATGGCCTTATTCAATACCATGCTTAACGTGATAAAGAACAGCCAGTAATCATTATATTCAGGTTTCCGGTCCTATTCAGTTATAACCATAAAGGAAAATCAATGTGCAAAATCAAATAGTCAAGGCTTTACTTTTATCCGCTGTTCTGAATGTTCTGAATGGCTTTAAGCATGTGTACAGTCGTATAATGCTACATTTCAATTCAAATGCTCTCCTTTGTCAACACGAATAATGCTGTTGATATCACAGGGTGTGGGACACAATCAGCTCGCCAAACATTCTTCATTTCAAAAGGTAAAAAAGCATATTTGAAATGGTTCGTCCCATATGAATATGTTATTGCATGCCTAAACCAACTGTCCACAAAACTAGGAGAAGAGGTATGACGTCAACTTGTGTCAACTTAACCTTTATATTGAGCAGTATTCCAGCAGCTCCAGCCTTTGGTGTTTACATTTCACATTTTTTGAGGTACAGTCGAGGATGCTCCTTCTACGCAGATTTCAAAGAGCATCATGTGACCCTTATCTCAAATATTGTTTGATCATGGTAACAACATCCAAGGCCTTCAAAGCGTTTCATGGTAGAAGACATTTCCAAATTTGATGCATCAGTGACAATGTTTGAAGTAGTTCACTATTTTGACTTTTACCATATGTCCACATTTTTCAGGTGAAGAATTGATTTGCCTTTGCATGTGTTCATGATTGGTGCCATGGTGGGGCAGGATACGCTCATCCTTTAGCAAACACCTGGTATCATCACTATTTGATAGTGATTCATAAATACATGCTCATGATATGCTTGGAAATGTATGATGGATTCTGCTTTCAGCAGAGATTTCTTCTGATTATGCAAAGGGTTTTGTCAATTATTTATATATAATCCACCAACAGTAAGAATGTGCATCAAGATACCTGAACACTGCAAGCATACAGAAAAATATGTATACTGACATTTAAATTCACTTAGAAAGTTTCTTCCATGAAGGACTAGCTAAAGTTTGAGTGTGTATTTGTATAAAGATATTGAATAAAAAATAATGAAAATAAGTTGTGAAGTACATCTATATGTAAGTTCATGTAGGCTATGCAATAATGCATCTAATTTGGTGAACCTTGAATTATTCACTCTCTGCTTTCGAGACGACACTCCCCACCCTCTCACTTACTCCGCATTAAGCAAGACACCTCCAGGACTGATTTTGAGAAATATTCACACAACGTCCCAGTAGGGGATTAGAGAAAAATAAGTTAAACACCATCCTGCGAATGCACTGTCATGGTCAGTGCAACCAGTCATTAATGAGAGTGTATGACACTTTGTTAAGCCTTCAAATAGACATTATTTCTCATAAACTTGAGCTGAAATAATCTTAGGAACGTGCTCCGATCACAACATTGCGATTCTGATGTCAAACCATTGTTGTGATATTGATCATCCAGGCTAATCTTCAGACCTACAGACACACCATCATCACATAAGCTCAAAGGAAACTTTATTATAAGGCCAAGATGGGCCAATAAGAACAATACAATATTGTTTAATTAAATCAGAATTTATTCTGAAGGGTAGAAACAAAATGCTCTGATATCACACCATAAAAACAGAAACAAGGTACAAGTGGTACAACAAGCAGGTCCACTACCTGGAGAATATCACACAGTGGGACAACAGCAACAAGTCAATCTTCCTTTATGTCAAGTTTCAAAACTGTTCTGACATTATTTCTCCAAGAGCACTACATTTTGGCCACACATATCTTATTTGGCATTCTTTGCAATATAAGAAAGACAACCCTGAAATTGTGTTTTAATATTTTTTATGAGGGACCATAAACAAAATATCACCTTATCCAGATATTGAGACAGGAGAGTACCAATATGAAAACATCGTACAACAGTGATTCTGCGCAGAACAGAAAGTTCTATCCTTTTAAAGAAGATAAATTATTTATTAGTTAGATGAGGTTTGACCGTCAGTTGCAAATGACACCCTTTAAATGCATGTGAGTTATATATTGTAAATCACTGGCTTGACACATATTGGCATTAAATGTACAATCAGTGCTGGTTTAACATTCTTGACATATATGGCTAAAACAAATCACTGCCAAGGCAATCAAGAAAACATCCAAACAAATGCAATGGACAATCATAATATCAAATGAATAGTCACAGAAATCTAAACATGTTTAATATGTTCTTTCACCATGTGAACCACTAAAATATGATGATCATTTTGAGAAAAAGAAATAAAAACGATAACAATGTTCTATTTTTTTTAACTATGAGAGTTTTCCCAGCACAGGTCTAGGAACTTCACGTGAACATGATGGAATCAATTGCTTAACACCAACAACAGTATGGCTTCAATACTTTCCCCAAAGTAAATATTTCAACAAAAATGTGATGAAAGCTGTAGATCCATCACCTCATTCCCATCACCGAGGGAGATTATGTCACATTATTAGCTACTGTTGAAAACCATGTACATGGAGGACAAACCTCGTAAAGAGTTGCCTACATGACTTCAGAAATCTACACCCTACTTTACTGGAAACCCGGCCAGGTTATGGGATTGCAGATATATGGCCCCCACAGTGAGTCGTCATGTAGTGCTTTACCAGGATGTATACGTGCAAGGTCTAACTACATGTCACCATAACCTAGCAGTGTTATAGTGTGTTCGACAAAATACTTGTTTAACCTTCTACCTGGATGCCTGGTATTCTGCAGCCACATTGAGCCTCTCTGTGACACTAGGGTTAGAGCAACAACTATAGAATGCATACTGTCACACTAGGGTTGGGGCAGCTCTTGTACCATGCATACTGTCACACTAGGGTTGGAGCAACAACTATAGAATGCATACTGTCACACTCGGGTTTGGGCAACTCTTGTTCCATGCATACTGTCACACTAGGGTTGGAGCAACAACTATAGAATGCATACTGTCACACTAGGGTTGGGGCAACTCTTGTACCATGCATACTGTTACACTAGGGTTGGAGCAACAACTATAGAATGCATACTGTCACACTAGGGTTGGGGCAGCTCTTGTTCCATGCATACTGTCACACTAGGGTTGGAGCAACAACTATAGAATGCATACTGTCAGACTCGGGTTTGGGCAACTCTTGTTCCATGCATACTGTCACACTAGGGTTGGGGCAGCTCTTGTACTATGCATACTGTCACACTAGGGTTGGAGCAACAACTATAGAATGCATACAGTCACACTAGGGTTGGGGCAGCTCTTGTTCCATGCATACTGTCACACTAGGGTTGGGGCAGCTCTTGTTCCATGCATACTGTCACACTAGGGTTGGAGCAACAACTATAGAATGCTTACTGTCACACTAGGGTTGGGGCAGCTCTTGTTCCATGCATACTGTCACACTAGGGTTGGAGCAACAACTATCGAATGCATACTGTCACACTAGGGTTGGAGCAACAACTATCGAATGCATACTGTCACACTAGGGTTGGGGCAACAACTATCGAATGCATACTGTCACACTAGGGTTGGAGCAACAACTATCGAATGCATACTGTCACACTAGGGTTGGAGCAACAACTATAGAATGCATACTGTCACACTAGGGTTGGGGCAGCTCTTGTACCATGCATACTGTCACACTAGGGTTGGAGCAACAACTATAGAATGCATACTGTCACACTAGGGTTGGGGCAGCTCTTGTACCATGCATACTGTCACACTAGGGTTGGAGCAACAACTATAGAATGCATACTGTCACACTAGGGTTGGGGCAACTCTTGTACCATGCATACTGTCACACTCGGGTTAGAGCAACAACTATAGAATGCATACTGTCACACTAGGGTTGGGGCAGCTCTTGTACCATGCATACTGTCACGCTAGGGTTGGGGCAGCTCTTGTTCCATGCATACTGTCACACATCGGGCGGTAACATTTGGACTATACATCTTCACTTGGGCACTATAACCTCATCAATCATTAGATTTTCCAACATATTTTAATCCAGAAGCACAAAAGAAACACAATATCAATAAGCACACCATCAATACACATTTAATAAGTTCTTATGTTCTCTTGTAAAATACAACAATTTCAATTGCTTCTTTCAGTAATGAAAGCATCAATATCACAAGCTAAATATCATATCTAGTCCATCAGATCAAAAGAATCTCTGGTACTTGAAACACATCAAAATCGGACATACTGAACTCCATGAAATACTCTAAAAAACAAACAGAATCATACTTGACAAATCCAGACTTTAAGACAGATTTAAGCAAATGGATATAATAAACAAACCCTTATTTATATAAAATCAATTTTTATATAATAAGCATGGTGAGTTAAAGAAATTAACATAATATATATGAAGCTTATCACGTCTTAACAATTGTCTGTGAGCTTAAATAATCAATTGAAAGCAAAATTACAGCCTCCCAACTTACGTATCACAATCTCATTTCGTTATCACTTTGTTGCTTTTCATGGCTACCACAAACAGAAATCTGTAGGTAGTACCATGTTCACAATATCCAAATGCATTATCTCTACTACAAGATGTCATCAAAGATCATTTCGGGGATCATAATCTCCGTATCTATCATCATGAGAATAATCATAAACATCATCATCATCATCATCATTATAATAATAATCATTGTGTTTACCCTGACGTCTCCCTTTTGCTCTTTGAAAATACCAGGAGTTGGGTTCAGTGTGGTGATAGTCTTGTTCCTCAGCTCGGACAAACAGCCAAGCAGTTCTGGGATCAGGTTGGCCACTGTGATGCATTGGCTCTGCAAATGTTTGAGAAGGAATATACTTGTCCTCTGACCTCTCTTCTTCCCGGTCTGCTGCCCTGTCAAATATCCAGTCCGACTTGTGCTCAGCCTCCCTCTGTTGCCATCTATTTTTCATCATGACATCATACCAATCTCCATCTAACGCCTTTTGTCTCTTCTGCCTCCACTCCTTTCTCATCTCTTCCCTGTCCCTGGCCCTCTGTTCATACCATTCTGTCTCATTATGAGACTCCTCCTCCACAATCCTCTTCTCCTTTTCGTAGCTGTAAGGCTGGCCTGCTGCAAGATTTCTCTCCAGTATCTTCTTCTTAGGTTTCTTCCCATGCTCTGATTTCCCTTGCTTTGTCCTAAACGTGCCTTTTCTGTTGCTGGACGGACCCCACTCAAACTGCCATCCGTAGATGTTCCCCTTGCAGACAGGATTGCGGGACGGAATCAAACTATGGAGACGGTCATGCCACCAGGCCGATTGACAAATGATCCATTGTACATCAGACCTCTCAAGCCACTTGTATATATCCCAGTCGGTCTGAAAACGGATGAAGAAGTCACATATATCTTGGAGATTACCCGGAGTCATTTCCAGATGCCTCTCCTCACTCATCTGCTGCATCATTGTTTTGAGCTGCTTGAACTGCTTCCTCATCCTGTGCCTTAAGACATTGGTCTCCTGTCTCTTGTGTCCTTTCTTGGACATTTTACCATTTTCCTCCACTGTTTCCTGATGCCTCTTCCTTGGTGTGACCTGGTCTTGCAGGTTTTGCTGTCCACGTCTTTTCTGAGATTGATGCCACTTGCCAGACTCTCTCTTCTTCTGACCCCTCTTTGATCCATGTCTCTCTCCATCTTGTGATTCATGCCATCTTTTTGAGTTTTTGTTTGCTTCATTCCTTTCTCTCTTCTTCTGCTTGTTGAACCACCTGGTTGTCTTCTGTTTGATCTTATCGTGAACATGATCACTGAACTTCCTGACTCTCTCTGTAATCTTACTTGCAACCTTGGACAAAGCAGGCTCATGTTTCTTCCACAGTTCTTCAGACAAATTCTTCACTTGATTCCAGGTTTCCTTTATTTGTTGGCTCATGTTTGACATGGAGCTCTGAGTCCGATTGAGGATATCCTTTACACTGTCTGACCACTTCTTTTGGGCATTCTGGGGGCCCTCTTTACTTCTGCCCTCATCTTCTGGATTCCTGGACCCAGAAAACTCTCTCCAGATGTTCTGAAACTCAGTCATAAATGCTTCCTTGACATCTTCCACTGACAGCATCAGTTTAGTTACATTGAGGAACTCCTTGATGGATGTGGTGTTGATGGAGTTGTTCAGCTGTTGGGTGAAGATTCTCATGCATGTGAGGAAGTTGATGGAGATGTTACATGTGGTGCGAGCATGTGTTTCCTTCAAGTTGAGGTACAGTCTCTGCCAGTTGTCAGCCTGTTTTTGAGACCAGGATAACTCCGCCCTCAGCTGCTGGATCTCTTCCTCAGACATGGGCAGCTCAGGAGCCTTTTCTAGAAAACACACATGACATTTGTTAAGTTATGTCAATTCATTCTGAATATGGTTACAACTTATTTCCGATGCTTCACAATATGATCTTTAATATGTTTGTTTTCACCCTCTTTCCACTAATTATCCAAAATTAATCCATGGATCAATCATAATTGAACATGATGAAACACAACATACTAACCAATATTTTGGTTTTGGTTCAATATGGAAATAACCAGGTACTCTCATGCCTACTGTCAACCATACCCCCGTCCATCCTTGCAAGCTTACATTTGTAAATACATAATTTCTGTGCAAAGTTTAATGGAGAAATAATGAAAGGTTCAGCTCCAGGAAATGAACCCTACTTTCATTTGAACTTGCTGCCTTTTGAAAAGTAAAAGATAAAAATTACAAGTATTTTAGAACATAAAAAAACAAACCAATTCAGCACTTGCCTGTACAAAGTAACTCTACCTTACATGAGCAAAGTTGTAAACAATCCCATTACCACAATTACAGGTCAGAACGACTTTTCACAAACATTGACCAACCAATGATATGACTAACAAGAAGTGGCTTAAGCGATGCTCTGATTGATCAGATGAACCAGTAATGGGCTGTCCTCAGATCTGTATAGCAGTAGCGAGCTCTGAGATCTGATTTTAAAGAAAATTGGGCACGAGTAAAGAATGCATTTCCTTACAGCTAATTGTGTCAGCTTAGATGGCTGGGCCACCTGCATCCCCATCGCTGACCAGACACCTTTTTTGTGGATGGTACATTTGTAGGGAACTATGAGTCCATCTAGCAGTAGATGGATACCATGAGCTAGGAGTTGAGAACTGTGTTCGTCACAACAATAGAGAGATCCTAAAAGTCATCAAAGAACATGCTCCATTGACCAAGAGTGTTGCAACAGCTCAATCTTATGAAGCTTGGTAGAATGGCACCTTGAAAGGCAAATGCATTCTTCAACATGTTCAAGTTTGACCAGTCTCATAGAATGCATTCTGTAAGACATTTTTAGAGATGCTATCACACATTCAGAAAGATCTTCATAGGCTGTGTGATAAACTTCTCTTTAAGGAGAAATCAAAATCTTTACCAAACTAAACATCAGTTCTAAATATGGAACAGTGAATACCTTTTCCAAGTTTTTCATTGCAAAGATTCTAATTCTCCATTCAAGCCTGGAAAACTCAACTCTTGAGACTGCCTACCTTAACAGGCAATCAAGGATCTGCCTATGATAAAAGTTGTGGACAGAATCCTCTTACTTTCTGAGCACTGGAATCACAAGCATCTGCATATCTCACCGAGTATGTCCAGGAATACAAGCCTATGAGAACCTTCAAATCTGTCAGTAAGATATACTGAACAGTACCCTCACCACTTGGTGACAGGTGCTTTGGAAAGACAGCCACTGCTATGGACCTCTCTCACAATTGAAATTCAAACTTTACAGAGCTTAGAAACTTTAGATCTCTTCTGAAAACTCACCTATTCCAACCCTTGTTCAAAGCCTGTTACTAGAGACATGCAAACAAAGATGTGCAAGTACTTGCAAAACTGAAGGCACTGTGCTTGATTTGATTACCAGCAACACCCAATGAACACCACTTGGCTTTTTCTGTAACCTACAAGGTAGTTTGTGCCAGTTTGCCAATTTCAACAAGTGCATTAATGTTATAGAGGCAAGGCACCATTTCTCACATGGCACATTCTGATTTAGATGAAACTTACATACTGGAAGTGGCTTGCAGTAAACTCTTTAGCATAGAAAAGGGTGGCTGTTATAAGGTCATACATGGAAATTAGTTGGCTGTCTAAGCATAGAAGTAAGACATTATGAGGTAATATTTGAAGACAGAAAGACAAAAATGTAATTGAAATAGTGTTTTTTTGGCACGTTTTAGATGTGTTTACTTGATTCCAGTAAACTCTCAGAGGCCTAACACAAAATGATCATAACATGCCGAATTTATGGCTTAAAAAAACATAAAACTTGGTCCTCAGGTAATGGCTTTCGAAAAGAAATAATTTCACTGCTGGGGTCATGTTTGACTTGCGGAATATTTACCAATTTTATTATTTTTTAAATGGAAATAAACACAAAACGTGCAACAGACTTAATAATGATGCGGCGGTGCCTGAGAACTAAAACAATTTTTCTTTTAGCCTGTCAGAGCTAAAGGGTGACATGATTCAAGACCAAGGAAACTGCCATAATGCAGGTGACACTGTCAACATATTTTAGGAGGAAGAACGGTACAGTATTTGATAAGAATTCAAAAGATGTCAATGAACATGATAAGCAAAATGTAGTGATGTCCAGTATTTTCTTGTGCTGCCATTCCCTATGACTGGCGGACATTAAACACTGGAGTCACTGATCACCTTCACACTTTCTTAGCTGTTGTGGTTTCAGAGAAGAAGATTCTTAAGTGTCACAATACCAATCTAGATATCCTCCCTAAAGTTCCTGGTTCATCCCTTCAGCCAGTTCAGAGAACAAGTTGAAAGTTAATGGACAGAATTACAGGCAGATGATTGATGGACAGATAATGAACAATATGTCATAACATGAGCTTAAACATGTTAAACAGCCCCTTGGTACTGATAATCTAAAATACATCCCACTTCTCTACTACACAAGTATCAAAATGTCATGTTAAAATCAATCTAGCATCATGCCATCCTGCCTTGAGTAACTCACCACTGATGTCATCTTGTGTTGGCTGTACAATCCAGTCATGGTCTTCAGTCACATCTTGCACCTCCTGCACCTTGCTGTGCACGTTCCCAGGGTGTGACTTGTACCGCAGCCGACCTATCTCAGCTCTCATGTCTGCATTCTCCTGCTCCAACAAGTTGATACGCGCCTTCAGATCCGTCACATGCCCATGACCTTCAGTGAGACAAGATGCTGTTGTGACTTCAGTTACTTCTTCCATCGACTCGTAGCCATCATCTTCCACACTGACGGTCAGGTGAGCACCATTACTAGCATGAAGGAGATTACGCAGACGTTGAATCTCAGCCTTCAGATCATCATTTTCAACTTCCAGAAGGACAGCTCTAGTCTTCAACTCCTCAATGACCCTCTCACTCTCCTTGGCCTTGTGATCTGGCAGGACAGTTTTGTACTGCATGGCAGCAAGTCTAGATGTCAACTCAGCGTTGTCATGCTGCAGTTGGTTCACCTCATTCCTCAGATCAATACTGGTTTGTCTTAGATCTTTCTTAATCTACAAAAAAGTGCTTACAGTTTTATGTCATTCAAGGTTGTCAGCAATATATTACATTGTCATTTTTCATATCGCTAGATAGAATGGATTTCGAAAAACATTTTCAGATAATTCTTCAAAAATCATTAACAATTTAATAAGGTGTAATGTAGCATCTTGCACCACAGTTAACTTAGGGGCATAGTTACCTCTTCACTCTGCTCTAGAGTTGATATCTTGGTGATCATCTCCTTCTCCAAGATGGCCAGCTGATCTCTCAATTGACTGTTGGTTTTCTCCTGCTTGGCAACTATCCAAAGTCTCTGTTCCCACTCCTCCTACACAGTCAAATTTCATTTGTCACAACAGGGAAACCATGCATCAGAAAACAGCCCAGCAAACTACTTCCTGCTTGTAAAGACATGGTTTCCTAAGCTGTGTAGCATATGATCCCTCTTCCCGAGGCAAGGGAGTTAACCCTTTCTGAACTAGGCTGGAATTTCGTGGCTCGACAACAGTGCTACCAGTGGCTTTTACGAGTTATTTCCCTTCTTTGTCCCTCCTATTGACCAATCAGATTCTTACCTTCGCAAAGTTTATCAAATTACTTGAGCACCTTGATTCAAAACATGAAAGGGTTTGGAAAATATCTGTTGACATTGACTTGACAGTACACATGCTTTGCAAATCCTGTAGTCCTCAGAAATCTGCATGGCAGTTTATGAACCGAATGTCAATTTTGTTACACGACTTTGATTGGACTGTGCATAGACTCGTTAGTCCAGCCAAAATATAACTCTGGTATTCCAGCCTAGTTTGGCAAGGGTGGAAACTGCACTTTTATAGTCAGTGAACCCTCTTGTCTTGGGAAGATGCATATGACCACCATTTTTAAAACTGACATATCTGCCTTTTGTACCAAGCCAAACACTATATCACATTTCACAACAAAATAAAAACATACTAGAGCTTCCCAAGTAACTGTCCCCTCTCCTTCTGACAGTCTCAGTGCAACTGACTTGTACTGATTACAGATGACTATCCCTCAGACCTACAGACCTATTGTCTGACAGGGGTTATTTATGTCGCCTCTCCACTCCGTTGATGCTGTACCTGTCTCCTGTCCTCGATGTACCTCTTCTTTTGGTGACACTGGAACAGGTCCCCCTTGAGGACAGACAGTCGACTCTCCTGGGCCAAGTTCATCTCATGCTGAAGGAAATGCTCTCTCACTGAACCTGAAACAGTCACGGTATCTCAACCACTAACTTGCAAACCTAATTGGTAAATGAATACCAATTTGCAAATAATATGTGCAAATAGTTGGAATTTGATGAACAAATCCATATCAATCAATTTAAATAAAATCATATCTTAGTTCTCGCTACCGCTAGACAAGGATCTGAAGACATCCAATTATGGGTCACATCAGAAAGACTTTTCATCCGACCAATCAAAGTGTCGCTTAACTGATCGTGAAAGTGACGGTTGGAATGTGATTTCTGACCATGCAACCTTGAAAGACTTAACACAGGGTATTCCGAACGACAGTTACAGGCTTTATGACTGAATCCATACAATCTAGGTCATTAGCCATTCCAGAAAGTTCTTTTGTTCCCAATTCTAAATCAAGAATTTGTAAAAATATGTTTCAAAGCGTAGTAACCAGTTTGAAACAAGTGACGTAAACCACTAGTTTCTGGCAGGACAATTTTTTGTACTGCATGGCAGCTAGTCTAGATGTTAGGTCAGCATTTTCATGCTGCAGTTTGGTCACCTAAAGCACGAGAAAGCTGCCTTCTGATTGGCTAATGTCGACTTCTTGTCAGTCATTTTCTATTGTAGGTCAAAATTTGTGAAAGGTCGGTCTGACGTGACCCGTAATGGGATGTCCTCAGATCTTGTTTAGCGGTAGCGAGAACTAAGATTTGATTTTAATGAGATTGTATATTAATGAAACATGGATCCAGTATTATGTCCCTTGGCACACTGATGCAAACAGTGACAAAGATAACATTCTTCATCCCTCTTCTACATTGTCCCATGGGGTAAGTGATGAAGCAATTTGTTTGACATGGTTACCATGGTCACACAGCTAATAAGGACATGTTTTGTTTCGAACTGTAATTGTCAGGCAGAACATGAAGACAGGATCATCTCATCAACTAGAATTAACAGGATTATGGCAATGAAAATAATGTCTACCTATTGAGTGTCCAATCCCGATGCCGATCGCCAGAAGAACCACCATGATGACTATGACATCCAGAGTCCAGTTGAGACTCTTGTTGGGCTTGTGGATGTACTGCCTTGCAACATTGCCAGCATCCAATGGGATATCCCCGATATCATCAAAAGGCTGGTCCTCATCCTCATTTTGGTGCACAGAGTTTTGATCGCTTTGATCACTTTCAACACGGTCATCCACGCTATTTCCTGTCACCGACTCGGTATCACCATCACCATTGTCATCATCATCATCATCTTCTTCAGCAGCAGGTGCTACAACCATAGGGGGGTCATCAACTGGCAGGACAAGCACAGGCGGGGCCACCATTGGTGGATCCTGCACAGGGGGGTCCAGCATGGGTGGATCCTGCATATGGGGGACCAGCACATGGGCATCCAGCATGGGTGGATCCTGCATATGGGGGTCCAGCACATGGGCATCCAGCATGGGTGGATCCTGCATATGGGGGTCCAGCACATGGGCATCCAGCATGGGTGGATCCTGCATATGGGGGTCCAGCACATGGGCATCCAGCATGGGTGGATCCTGCATATGGGGGTCCAGCACATGGGCATCCAGCATGGTTGGATCCTGCATATGGGGGTCCAGCACATGGGCATCCAGCATGGGTGGATCCTGCATATGGGGGTCCAGCACATGGGCATCCAACATGGATGGATCCTGCATATGGGGGTCCAGCACATGGGCATCACGCATTGGTGGATCCTGCACAGGGGGGTCCAGCACATGGGCATCCAGCATTGGTGGATCCTGCATATGGGGGTCCATAATGGGTGGATCCTGCATCAGGGGGTGTAGCACATTGGGGTGCAGCATTGGTGGATCCTGCACATCTTGGACTGCAGTGATAACAAATATCGAACATGTTTTATTGAGATATGTTTTTGGAGTGTCACTTCTGGACCCAGACTAATTACTTCTACTGTAGCTACTGAAATCAGACATTTGTAAGACATAACCATCACAATAAACATGATGAAGACTTGTATTATTTCCTGGTTGTACCTCTTAAAGAAACATGTTTTTCTGTACTTGCAAATTTCACTATGGGCATATGGAGATTGACTTTCAAAAGAGTAAAGTATTAGGTACATTTATGCAACATTAGCAGGGTTAAATGGAATTCTACTTGATGTTCATCAAGCACAAGACACAAATGGCACGTTAGAAAGCTAGTTTTAAAAACAAGAAATCATGATAAGTTTTATGTACCTGGTTGGATCTGTTGAGGCAGGAAACGGAACCCTGAACTCACTGATGACACAGACTCTGCCATGACGTCTATAGTTGTGGCTGCTGCTTGCATTTCTGCTGCACTTGGGGCAGATAACTCTTCCCTGAACACCTCATCTCCTTCCGTATCAGAATTTTCATTAGATGATGAACAAGATGACAGGGCATCAAGACGGACAAAATCTGAATCTGAAAAATAATGTATACCCATTCGTTGATACCTAAGCAATGAATATATATAATAAACAGACACCAAGATTCAAATAATAAATTTAGTAAAATCTAAATTTCTTTTACATTTGTATACCTATCCTGCAATACTCCTTAAAGCATTTACTGCTGTCTTTTGACAGAAAGAGGAGACGTGAGAGGTTTAGCTGCAAAAGAAAGATGTGAAGTGCGGTAGTACCCTCACAAAGCCGCCACATGACCCGGAAGTGGTTCACATTAGTGCACATTACTACTTTGGAACGTAACATTTGAAACTTCGTGAGGATGTAGCACTCCATGGGAGGGCCTTTAGATTTTACCAAATTTATTAACTTATCCTGCATTACTCCTTAATGCATATTTATCAGATAGTAGGGATGTGGGCCCCTCCCAAGAAACAGTACAACACCCTGAGCAATGACCATTCCTGTCTGAATGAAAACATAAGTGAAGGAATATAGGAAGACCGGATAAGGGAACAGTAATAGAAAAAAGCATGCGCTAAAATCTCAAACTGACCTACTGGGGGAATGTTAACAGCATGTGTGTCCCATATCTGAGGTGATAAAAACCAGACAGGTCGACGGGCCTGATCAATAGTCTACGATGATCAATGGCGATAAAGGTTGGTGACTTGTTGAGACATCCTCCAATGCAATATCATGTAAATAATGACTGGCAAAAACGGTATTAAATCGCCAGAAACACCCTTCCATAACAGACTTAAGGGAGCAGTTGCTAAGGCGATCCATGGTTGATGCAACCGCTCTAATTTCGTGCAGGTTATTGGCCTTGGGAGGGTCTAAACCGGCTGCCCCATACGCTGGAAGAATAATTGCACGTAGCTATAAGGAGATGGTATTACGAGATACCTCCGCCGCTTCCAAGACTTGCATTGAGCCTTAGAGCATCTCAGGACACACGCACGTACAGGGCACAATAAAAGCTGCTCTTCGTCGTCTGCTCAAACGATTGACAAGAGGGGTGGGATGGTGTAAGACCTTTCTGGCTGTCCTGGCAGTTGATTTATAGTGATGAAATCCAAGCACAGCCCAAGAGTGCCATGCTCAAAACAGACCCGTGTGACGTCTAATGCATGGAGTGCATAACGGAGTAAAAGAATGTTTGTCCTCATTCAGTGCTGAGGTGGGAGCATAGGATCTGGAGGTAAAGACGTAGGGTTGGACCAGATCGTATCCTTTTCATCTATGTCTGGTCCCGGGGACGGTGCAACAGATGATAAACAGTCAGCCATGCAGTCTATAACTTGAGTCATAGTAAGATGTGTGTCGACCTCCGGAGAGGGCAGCTCATAGTTCAGGAAGTAAGATCCCTCCGATGAGTCCGATCTGAAGCCATGTCTGATCCTTCCTTTGGACAGGAGAGTGGCTCCGAGAGCGCCATGGGACGTGAATGGGACAATTTAGAACTGTGCTAAGAGGAGCTGGCTGATGCCGATCCACATGCCGATCTAATAATGGTAGATCCCTATCCACAATAGGCGCCAAGAGTGTAGATGAGAGAGGTGCCGGCAGCGCCGCAGGAGGTACAGTTAACATGGTTAATGCAGTGATGAGAATTGGATATTTTCCTTTTCCGCTGAATCTTCTTTGCATAACTTGGGTGTATATTGGGGGAAATCATCAGATTTTAACAAATTTGTGGTCACTAAAATTCGCGAAAAATTTGCGGATATGTAGAAAATTCTCACCCCTGTTAATGGAAAAGTCGGGTGTCATGGCAGGAGGTACCAAAGTCACGGAAGAAGTAGCTGGCACCATGTGGGCAGGAGATACCACTGGTGCCATGGACTGACAAATCAAGGACTGCATCCAAGCATGCAGCCAGGCAGGATCCATAAAAGAGGGAAGCACATGCTGTGGCGCAGTCTGGTAAGGCTACGGTTGGAACAGGGAAAGCAGGAAGAGGCCCGTAGCCAGGTGGCCCCACAGTTGCCGGCACCGTAGTCATCATGTAAGGGTTGAAGATTGCTAGTGCCGGCGCCGTCAACATAGACATCAAGGGAGTTGACATCGCCAAGGGTGGTGGAAGCACCGGAGCCGCAGCAAAGACATAGATTGGCACAGACGTCGCTGTCGGGATCGTCATATTCTCCTGACGAGTCATCGCCAACTGTGAGGATGTAACCATCAGCAGAGCAGATGTTGTACTTGTCAACGTCGAAGACGATGAGGTGGTCGACTGCAAAACAAAGAGACTGGCGCGTCATTTGAAGCCGAAGAAGATGGTGTAGCTGCAACATCAGACATCCCGGGGTGTCGGCGAGCACGCTGAGTACGCACTTACTAACGGCTTTCATGTAGAGCATGAAGTCAGCAGTAGACAGGGGAGTACAAAAACAACACTCTGTGGAGCAAGGGTCTGTGCAGTCTGACCACAACAGATGAGGGTCCTTGCCAGACTTGTTCCCATCACAAACAATACGAGGCATAAATCTGTAACTTAAGCAAAGTCATATTGACAAACGTGTAAACACGCAACGGGCAACAAAAAACAACTTATAACTAAAAAATGCAAACACGTTTAAAAGGGAGACATTATATGATATAAGTGTAAGGTAACACTTCAAACACACAAATAGAATGAGGTAAAAATTACCACGACAAAAATGAATGAATTCACAATACACGACAAAGATCGAGACCGCATGGCGAAATCAAGATGGTGGATTGGAACAACAATAGGCCGGTAATTACCATGACTGAGAGCCACAAACGAGCAGCAAACTGCTACAAATTACGTATTGATAATACCAGAAGGCACAAACCATACACAACAACACAATGGGAAGTTGAAAAACGATGAAGTATTAATAAATAGAGAATGCTGGAAACTGTCCAGCTTTATTTCTCAAAATTCATGTCTGTCTGTGAAGACTGACAAAGCAGTAATGTGCCCTAATGTGACATCACTACTTTCTGGTCATGTGGTAGCTGTGCGAGGGTTTTACCACACTTCAGGTTGGAACAACTTTCTTTTACAGCAGTAAATACATTAAGGGGTAATGCAGGATAAGTTAAAAAAATAAATTTATCTGGAAATCTCCTAATCGGATGTTAAGCGTAACTACGGAATACACAACTCCTACCACTAGTGTCACTGGATGTGTCAGATTTGTTGACTAGATCCAGATCGGCTGCCAAACTTGCTAGGTCAGCACCAGGTGGTGCTACTATCACACGCCCATCACCCAATCTGTGGACACAGTACAGAAGCATTGGATACACATTCTATTAATTATTTCAAAATCAGACAATACATCCAACAGCTATCTTCTCTGATTAACTTGAAATGCATTTATATTATCTACCACTTTTAACATGTTTAAACAACTAAATATAAAACACTCTCAATCACACCTGATAGTATGGCACCTTTCATCTGATGAGTTCTCCAATGGATACTTGAGCCACTCTTTATCTTCTCCACCAGCTCCCTCATCCCCACTCTCAGCACCTTCTTCACTGTGCTGTCCTCCAGCAACAGGAGATGCAACATCATCAGCATCTGTGGTCCCGAAACCTGAGAGCATGGGGAAGCAAGGAGATTGATCAGCTTCAAGAATCTCAGTATCTGGATCCACCTCTACACCAGCTTCAGCCCCGGAGTGTTGGTAACTCATTCTCTCACACCCGGAACTCTTCATGGAACCGGTGGACAGAGAAATTACCCCATCATCAGAGGCTTCAGCACCATCATCAGCACTCAGATGAGAAGTGTCAGCAGAGGCAGTAAGTCCTGGGACTTGAGACAGGGAAGACAGGGAAGATGATATATTGATGCTGGACGGCAACACTACATCATGAGAAGGCTCTGCATTCTCTCCCTTGTCATCCTTTTCATCCTCTGATATAATGTCAGTAGACTCATCTCCAGTGGAGGCTGCACTGGCTGTCAGAGAGGCACCAAGAAGACCTTCCCTGTGACCTGGATCTCCCGTCTCCTCCCTTGCACTGTCAGCTAGAGGCCAAATGTCCTCCATAGCCCCACTCTGATCTATCTCATCTAGGGAGCTCCGTAGCAGGGCCGACATCTCTAATGAAGCTGAATTCAGAATGACAAAATTTGACACCAGTTTCTTAGATACGTGATTGCAAGCATGAAAGTGTTAAGCGCAACAGCAACATATCAAACCACTACTGTCATCATGCTATGACGAAATTATCACCTCAAGGAATCTTAAAATGTTTTTCTTAAACAAATCTCAGTTTAAACTATAAAATAGAGTCCAATATAGCCCTAAGAAGAGATAGGCACTTTGAACCGCTTTATTTCATCAGAAAAAATGACTAAATGTGAAATTAATACACACAAAAGGCCCCTTCTCTGGATAAAAATAACTTGATAAGTATCAATCAATCAATCTCTATTTATGGTGCTGATGAGGCCAAAGGCCTATAGTAGTCTGGGCTGTTACAAATTCATACATTTTCTTAGTTTCATAGCATGATTAATGAACATAGATAAATTTGTCATAAATATTCTAAACTTATGTAAATTTACACTTAATAGATAAGGTTCTAGTACCATAATAGTCTTACATGAGGTGTAGTAATTTGCTTTTCTAGAACTGGAGAAGGAACCATGCCATTTTTGGATGTACATATCTCTTAAAGTCTGTTTCATACGGGTGAAGAAATGCTGTGGCATGTCTACATGTTGCCGTAACCAGATATAACCATATCCACATTCGTATAACACTTTTGATGCACAATTTAGTCTCACATGGCTGTCGTAGAGAAGCATCACATTATAACATTTTCTAGGGTATCTTTAAGATGGCATATCTAATAACTTGACCCAGTATTTAAGAAACCTTTACATAACTATAGATACACATGGGAAACCTTCTGCATTCACCATATACCCTTGCATTTTCTGTGCTAGATTTTATACCCAAGACCTTATTACATGCAAATAATGTATCTTTTCAATAACCAAATGTTCTAGGCCCCAAATTTCTGATCCATACAATAGTATCGGCCTTCTTTTTATATCAAGTATTTTAAAGTAAACATCATATGTAATTTTGTCCCAAACTCTTAGACTTTTTAATATGCCTACAAAAATTGTCTTGGCTTCCTATGAAATGTTATGTGCATTCTTTAACCAAGTTAATCTACTTGTAAAACACACACCTAAGTATTTATAAAATGGAACAACTTCTACAGGTTTCCCTCAATAATGCCATTTATCTTTTCTGGATACGTTACCACCATTTAAAAAAAACTACAACTTTGGTTTCATCCATATTTACAGTAAGTTTTTCCCGTCACAATAACTCTCTAATACATGTATTTGCTTTAGCAAGCCAGGTATTGTGCTTGAGAAAATGTCTATATCATCAGCGAAAAGAAGCAGAAATAATTTAATAGTTTCGGGATGTAGTTGCATTCCATCAGTGCAATTATTTTGTATTTGATATGCTAATTCATTTAGGATAAAGGAAAAGAGAAAGGGACTTAATATACACCCCATCTTCCAGAAGCAAGAGAGTTAACTGACTTTAAAAGTCCAGTTTCCAACCTTGGCGAACTTGGCTGGAACTACTTGTCTCGATCATAGCGCCACCAGTGGCTACTACCAGTTATGTCCCCTCTAAGCCTTTCCTATGGACAAATGTGACTCCACCTTTCATATCACTTGCATTTGCTTCACCCAAAATGGTGGCGCCCAAGATCTATATTGTGATAAAACGGGTCTTACATCGCGAAATGCATCAAATCACGTGAGCACCTTGATTAAAAACATGAAAAGATTTGGAAAATATCTGCTGACATCAATTGGCGGTGCACATGCTTTGCAAATCCTGCAATCAACCGAATTCTGAACGACAGTTTACGAGCCGGATTTCGATTTCGGTGCGCGATATTTAATTGGACTATGCATAGACTCGTTAGTCAAGCCAAAATGTAACTCCATAATACCAGCCTAGTTCAGCAAGGGTGGAAACTGGACTTTTATAGTCAGTTAACTCACTTGCCTCGGGAAGATGTATACACCCTTGTTGGACACCCATGGTACTTACAAAATTATCCGATATAGCGCCATTGTTCCGAACATACACCTTCACATTTTTATATAAAGAACAAAATAACTTTCCAATTCTGCTACTTAACCCATGTCTTTGAAAGAGGGATCACAAGTTAACCCTTTTCAAAGCCTTTGCAAAATCTACAAATAGAGCATATAACTTCCCTCCTTTTACTGAGAGATATCTTTGTATCATAGAATATATATTGATAGGTATCTCTTAGATTAGCTAAGTTCAGTAATTTCTTAGCAAACTTATCCATTGCACACACTATGCACCTAGTAAAATAACATGGTAACTCTGTAAAAGAAATAATTCAAGGGAACAACTTACTCAGTCTTGACAAGTATCTGTTAGATAAGCATGCAAACTTTCATTCATGTAACTGCAGTAGTTTCTGAGAAAAACTGTCACCATTTCACAAGTATGCACTAAGTTGAAAAGCATGGAGCAAGGGCCATAACTCTGTAAAAAACACCAATTGTCAAACTCATTTGAGATCATGACCAGTAAAATCAGTGTGTAAAATTTCATTTCTCTGACTTACCAGTAAATAGTTTTTGAGAAAATTTGTCCCCTTTGAGAAGTGGACTGACAGAAAGACAGAAAACTCCGTTCCTATATCCCCCGCCCAATTTCTTGGCAGGGGATTGTATGATATTGATAAGTGGTCTTGCTTTATTCCGATGTGTACACCTGCATAACAACAACTTACCCATGCTCTTAGGCTGTGAGTCAGTCTCTACAGAAGGAGATCGGTGTCTACCAAAGACGACCACCCCCTGATGAGTGACATTGACAAACTCATCACTTGAACTACCACTCGAAGCCTCCTCTGCCTGTGGTATAAACATAAATGCTGATATAACATCCAACAACATATTGATCAATTCAGATAAAAGCATTATAAGCCGTGATCAGGATGTGTGCTGGAGACATGGTTCCAAAGTAATCCAGGGTTAGAGCTCAACTCAAAAACTTCACTAGCCCGGGTAAAGATTAAATGCCCTTGTAATGTTAAAACAATGGGGAAGTTTGGAAATTAATTTGGAAATTTGTACTAGCCTACAAGAATTTGTTGTACTAACCCTGGGCCAACAGGAAAGTGTTAATTTCTAACCCTGCTAATCACCAAGATCACTTGAGGCGAGGTACTACACCTGCATGACCTGTGACTGTGGTCATCTAACCAGCTGCATCCACCCACCTCAATGTTCCCTTCACTGGAGACGAGGTCCTACACCTGCATGACCTGTGACTGTGGTCATCTAACCAGCTGCATCCACCTACCTCAATGTTCCCTTACTGGAGACGAGGTACTATACCTGCATGACCTGTGACTGTGGTCATCTAACCAGCTGCATCCACCTACCTCAATGTTCCCTTCACTGGAGACGAGGTACTACACCTGCATGACCTGTGACTGTGGTCATCTAACCAGCTGCATCCACCCACCTCAATGTTCCCTTCACTGGAGACGAGGTACTACACCTGCATGACCTGTGACTGTGGTCATCTAACCAGCTGCATCCACCTACCTTAATGTTCCCTTCACTGGAGACGAGGTACTACACCTGCATGACCTGTGACTGTGGTCATCTAACCAGCTGCATCCACCTACCTTAATGTTCCCTTCACTGGAGACGAGGTACTACACCTGCATGACCTGTGACTGTGGTCATCTAACCAGCTGCATCCACCTACCTCAATGTTCCCTTCACTGGGGACGAGGTACTACACCTGCATGACCTGTGACTGTGGTCATCTAACCAGCTGCATCCACCTACCTCAATGTTCCCTTCACTAGAGACAAGGGCCCAGTCTGCAAGAGGCTCTCCCTCGCTGCTGTCACGAGACATTCCTCTTAATTATACCATCAATCTGAAATTAAGATTGAAAATGTATTTTTTAAGAGTTAAAATATCATTAATACTTATCCTGACACATACTTAATGCTTTAACTTTAAGTGTATGAGTCAGAATAAGGTAAAATAAGTGGATATTAAACTTAACAATGACTGAAAGATTTATCATGCTCATAGAACAATATTAATCATGGTTACTAAGGACTGAAATCTGTCATTCAATGTCACCATGTTCAACAACATATATCTCATATAACATATCTTATGAAAACACATGAAAGTTGCTGTAGTCAGCCCTGGTCAGCAATATTCCAGCCTTATCACAGCATTCTGCACTGACAGTGGGCCAGGCAAACCAGTTGTTGATAACATCATCAACAATCCACCACATGCTCATCATGCTCCTTCAGCTGTGACAAAGAGGGTGTGTGCATAAGTTGTGCAATGATACACTGGGGTACCGGTGCATCGTGAGTGTTCCTGCGATGATATGATACACAATATGATTTTTCTGTATCGATACAAGATGAGACACTTGCTAAAATAAATTACTTACTACTCGTTTAATGACCCCTTGTGTTTTTGTCTGTCAAATATTGCAAAATGTGAAATGTGTTGTAATAAGTGTTTAAAGTTAACATTTAAAAACAGCCTCTAAATAGTGTGTCTGTAGCTAACTTTTCCTTTTGAACTTGCTCTGAAATATTAATAGTTAAGATACGTCCACACAATCTGACGTAAATATGTGTGCAACAATATGTATCGAATTGTGACGTATGAATCATGATATGCATTGTATGAATAATGGGATCCTCACTATTATCATATGAAGGAAGATGCATCTGCACACTGTCAAAAAAACAAACCTTCTTGCTTAACAGCACATGAAGATATCTTTATTAAACATTAACAAAGGGTCAAGTTGCTTGGGGCAAGTGCCTAAAGAGTAATATTGTCCTCGCATACACATCAATGACCAGGATGCACACACAGAATCATACTAAACCAGCAGTGTACAGAGGATGAGTGCAGATACACATTCTATCAATTACATCAGCAAGATCAGCTGTCCTTCAAATTGATCTGATCAAGCTGTGATATTACCCAGACAGCCCTGGAGACATGCATACAATAATTCTGCAAAGTTTTATCGTCTACATATTATTTACTAAAATCCTATACAGTGATCAACAAATCATGCTGCAACAAAGGTGACCTCATCTTCCCGAGGCAAGAGAGTTATCTGACTTTAAAAGTCCAGTTTGCACTCTTGCCGAACTAGGCTTGTATGATGGAGTTACATTTTGGCTGGACTAACGAGTCTATGCATTGTCCGATCAAAATTGCGCACCGAAATCGAAATCCAGTTTGTAAACTGTTGTGCAGATTTCGATCTATTGCAAGATTTGCAAAGCACATGCACCGCCAACTCGTCAGCAGATATTTTCCAAATCTTTTCATGTTTTTAATCAAGGTGCTCACATGATTTGAAGCATTTCGCGATGTAAGACCCGTTTTATCACAATATAGACCTTGATTATCAATCAGATTGCCTGACTGGGCGCCACCATTTTGTGTAAAGCAAACGCAAGTGATATGAGAGATGGAATCTGATTGGTCCATAGGAGAGGCTTAGAAGGGACATAAGTGGTAATAGCCAATGGTGGCGCTACGATCGAGCCCAGAAATTCCAGCCTTGTTCGGCAAGGGTGGAAACTGGACTTCTAAAGTCAGTTAACGCTCTTGCCTCGGGAAGATGAGATGACCTTAACTTCATCACATTTATCATACCACTCATACTGGGATAATAAATCTCTAAATAGCAGCACATTGGTGAATTCTGTGACTTGGGGATGTGAGAGTCCTTCAAATATTAATAATCTAATTCCTCCAACCTGACCTAGATCACAGGACAGATGAAATACAGCTATCAGCTGGCATTCTATGTTTAGCCTGACCAAGTCAATACATATTCCCAGAATAACATGTGCTCATACATACATGCCTCATGATAGCATTGGCCTTTGATTTCTTGGGAAAAAGATAATAATACCACCGATATCAACACCTTGATAAATGTCACTCTCAGTTACCTTTATGGCTATTTCTGATTGTTTATCTGCATAATCAATTCCCGTAAAGACTTCTGTGTTATAGGTCCATACTAAGACATACACAAATGTACCATGTATACAGGTATGCATACCTTTACAAATGCCACACTTTGTTGCAGTGGTACCAATATTTCAAAAGGTACATAGAAGTAACTTTCTCAGGAGGCAAGTGCATTTGTCATAATTATTGATTTGACAATGATGATTTTGATAATCATATACATGACATAGTAAGCAATATTTACACATATTTAGCAACATTTATAAGTACAAAAAGAGTATTACAGTTTGATAGCCTTTTAAACGAAATGACCCTCTCACTGTTAGTGTTATGATATATATAAGAGGAACAACATCTAAGAAAACCTCTGTCATTTCAGCAGTAAGAATGAAATAACTATCACTGTTCATGAGACACAGTTACTGAACGCAGATAGCTAACTCACTCAAGCTTTGCACATTGCATCCGTCCACGGTGACACATCCTGGTGTCTGGCATGTGCTAATAAACATGACGACCACATGGTTCATTTTTTGGGTACATAGCAGGAAAATGCATCCCAAAGTGTACATGAAAATGAACAATGGTAAACCAAGAAGTGTGATATTCCGAATGATAGAATGATATTGGCAAACGGGCAGGGATAAGATTGGGATTGGTACTAAGAGGAAGGACTAGAAAGACGACTCCAAAGCAGGATCTCTTTGTCCACACCATTGTGTTGAGAATGTGGAGGAACAGGTTCATTTCTGCACCAGAACTGAGGGACATCTTCAGGGCTGCAGCTTTTGACCTCAACGATACGAAACAGGTTGTAAACCGCCGGGTCTGAAATCAAGATGTCTTTCCACAGGAATGCGTCTGACTGTGACACAGAGGCACCTCAGACAACATTTGAGCTCAGCAGTTGGGTGGTCATCAACAGCAGCATTGGACATGTTGGAGATACACTATGTTTTCTGATTAATCAAGGTTCTGTTTATGCTTTACAGATGGTAACTAGTAGACAACGTGTTTGGAGTAGGTGTGGAGAGAGGTACTTTCCGGCTGCAGTCCACGAGCATGATAGGTACAGTGGAGGCAGCATCATTGGTTTGGCTGGCTTGACTCACAACAACAGGATCGATCTGGTGATCGTGCAAGGGAACATCACCAATCAACATTATGTGGACCAACTGTTTTGTCCAGTGGTCATCCCAGCGCTTAGGTCAGAACTTTGAGTTCACTGAGCTCATGTTGCAGTCTACTGTCTGAAGCAGCAAAGTGTCACAACATTGCCCTGGCCAGCCAAATCTCTACACGTCACTGATTGAACACCTTTGGGATGTTCTGGGCCAGAGGGTTTGCAACCGAGCTAGGCGTTCCCAGAATTTGCAACATCTTGGGTAGGCCTTACAAGAATGGCAATGGTTACCACAGGAGACTATCTGGCGTTTGATATCCAAAATGCCCAGAAGATGTGCCTCATTCAATGTTCACGGGGCGTGGACTAGATATTGACTTTACTATTCCACAACGCCATTTCTTTGAAATATTGTTCTTAGTATATATCAGTAAAACGGGGATGTACATTAACTCTCAAATTAAAATCTGCACCGATATATGGAAAAGAAAAACTTATACAAAACCAGAAATTGAATGTGCCGATGAGAGGATACGGCAACAACAGCTAAACACATTGTTTACTTTTGAGCCAAAAAATGATAAACATGATCAAAATAAACCCAGTCTGTAAGCATGGGAAACACTTAACAGACATACAAGGCAAACATTGAGGCCGTCTTGAGCTTCCATCAACGCCTGCCGATCAAGAGAAAATGTTATTGATCAGTGATTGGTGTCAGGGGCAACCAATGTTAGCTGCAGTCAATCTGCATGAGCAGTTCAACACATGGTGGCTCATCTACAATTATACTCTAGTGTCTGCACACATTTCACTGCAAATATACTCAACAAAGCAACCTTATAGACTTTAGTACTTTAAGGGATACTTTAATAATCCCATTTGAATGACCAAAACTAAACTTAAAATATGGAAATCCTCCCAATAACATGCCAAATGAAAACATATGCCATTGGGGTTAAAAAGATTCCTGGTGTTTGATGCGCTGTGCAATTTCATCAATCAGGCTGGCTCCCAGTCTGTCTGCTTCTGCCTTGTATTTTATAGTCGCATTCACATGTCTTTTCTGTCTGCTCATCCATTACGGTGTCAAGAACCTATGGCAATTCATGCCTTATTGGTAACAACATTGATGATGCCTTCAGTCATCTACTCAGAGGATTAATCCCTGACAGGCATTCACTGTGAGCAATAGGACCAAGGGCAGCAAGTGGTTTATGGTATCCCAACATGACGTTAGTCATGAAAGATAGTTGCAGACATTAATTGCAAATTATTCACAATGTCAAGAGTGAAGTTCGTTTCAAACACTCAACAATCTATGCAATGCTATTTTTGTAGGATTAATAGAAATAGCAACACTTACATTGACCTCTTCCTGATGTATCCCTTAGGGTTTAAATGAGTTTGGTTTTATGCCACTTTTAACAATATTCCAGCAATATCACAGGGGATACCAGAAACTGGCTTCACATATTATACCCATGTGGAGAATAGAAATTGGGTCTTCCGTGTGATGAGCGAACGCTTTACCACTAGGCTACCCCACCGCTGCTGATCTACACGAGATAGATTATATAGTGGTTAGACACTGCAGCCAAGTCTACATATCATACAATGAAAACATTTATCCCACACAGCTGCACCGTTGTGTTGGTTGCTTTAGGCCACATTCCAAAATAGTTTTGTTTCAGAATCCAATTATGGAGTGTGATTTCAGCACTTTCACTTGGACGTTTAAATACTTTTTACCAATGTTATGAATTATTCTCTCTCAG